TGAACTCCATTTCCTCATTTACAAAAGGGAGATGATTGCAACATGGCAGAGGCAGTTGGAAAGGAGAAATGCAGAAAGGGATCAGGACTGAGCCTGGTGAGCAGAAAGTGTTGGGCGGGCACAGTACGTTTAGACACGATAATCCTCCTCCTCCATGAGGTGCAGAGCCTGGGGAAGCAAGCTGGTGAATGCAGCCCGCATCTGCCTGCTGCCTCCACGTGCTGGCTCTTTGTACCCCCTCCCTGGAGTGCCCGCACACACAGCTCCCCAGGAAATCAGCGGCAGAATTCAGAACCGGAAATCAAGTCTCCAGACAGCTACTAGCTAACCCCTGGCTTAGCCCCTGGTTCCCCCGTGGCTCCTTCTGGGGACTGAATCCTGTTAGCATTCCTGGTACAGTCCCAGCACACCCTCCCACGGGTGGATTGAGAGATGTGCATGTCACCAAGAAGTGGGTAGTGTTTGCAGGGTTCCTCAGGAATGGCACAGGCATCTGTATGTGCTGGGGTCACTGTATTTGCAGGGTTCCTCAGGAATGGCACAGGCATCTGTATGTGCTCGGCCCTGGGCCTTGACTGGGGGCAGGTCCCCTCATCCCCTTTCCCCTCTTCCCACCCTTGATAATAGGAGGCCGACTTTTCCATGTGGTATTTGTCTCTCCCTGCGAATGTGGAGCCTAAGCTCCACCAAGCTTATCTGTACAATGGATTTCCTGCTGGTGTTGGATCGACCCTGTTCCCCGTTGGGTAATAAATTTATGTCGCCTGAGCGCACAGATCTGCTGACGTCTGTGATGCCGGTGGCCTTGGCAGACCCCAGCTCCCCCAGCCTGGGTGGGAATCTGCAGACATAAACCCTGGCTGATGTGTACTGAGCATCCCGGTTAGGCTTGGAGAGCCAGAACTGGCTGGGTGGTGAGGATGTGGGAAGTTCATTCATTCATCAACTGTTTATTGAGGCTCCTGTGTGCCCACCCCTGTGCTGGGCTCTGAGCAGACAGAGGACACTCCCGCTGACCTGGGAATCAGATGCAGATAATTATACCACAGGCAGCTTACTTCTGGGGTAGCACTAAGGACAGAGCTGGTGGGAGGAACACACAACCTAATTTGGGGCTGTGGGGTTGAGTTTTAATAAAAAGTTTTCTTTCCTGGCAGTAATCCTCAGCAGGGATAGCCCCGCTGGGCCCCAGAAAGGTGGACAGCTCTTTGGGGCTTGAACATATCACAACCTTTGCATCCATGGTGTTTGGACCAGCCCCAAATCCAGAGCACCCACTGTGGCACCCCAGGGATGCCCTCCTCTCTCCTGCCCCTCTGCCCAGGTGTGTAGCAGCGGGGGCATTTGGCCTCTCATCAGAATTTCAAGTTCCCATCTACACTATTAAAAGAGTAACATGCTAATTGACCATACCTTTGCAACATCCACCAGCCAATCAGGAGTGAGTATGCAAATTAACCCAACAAAGATGGTGGGTTAATTTGCATACACAGGCGCCAAATACCCGGGACCATTCCACACCACCCCAGCTGCTCTAGGCCTTTAGGCAGCATGGGAAAGTTCCAGTCAGAGCTAAGGCAGTGCCAGCAGCCAGAGGAAGGAAGGCCCATTCTTGCATGAATCTTCATGCATTGGGCCTCTAGAGTTAATCATATAAAGTGTGTTCTAAGAGGAACTGGCCTGGCCCCTGCCAGCCAGCCCTCTTTCCTGCCTTGGTACATCTGCACTAAATTTCCCCCCTTTAGATAAGTAGGCCCATTGGTATTTACTTTGATGTTAGGTTGTGGTATGAGTGGTGTCTCTGCAATTTCAGGCCATGGTGGTGGGAAAACTGAGCTTTCACAGATGGGATCCAAGTCTAGCAGGGGAGGGCAGGGTCAGAAGCAGTACACCAGCTACTGTGTGCACAAAAAATGCACAGCAGCCCCCCAATTGGTAGGAGGGGGTGTCCTGCCTTGTCCTGGGAGCAGTACTGGGTCAGGCATCCTGAATAGAAGGGTGCAGGAGGGCTCCCCTCCTTCTCTTCCTGCCCTTCCTCACCCCACATCCTCCCGCCCCCTCTCCATCTCTGGCCCTGGAGTGACAGAACTCGGCAAACAGGAAAGGATGCACTAACTGCAAAGAAATGCAATGAATTCAAACCTAACCCCAAAGCCAACCTGGGGTTTGGAGTCTGGCTTTCAGAAGCCTGTCATGGTCTGGCTATGTCCGAGCTGAGCTCGAGGCGCTGGGGGCATGAGATAAGATGTGGAGCTGGCCTCGGGGGAGTTGGCTCTCGCCAGTCAGCTCCCACCGGAAAGGAAGCCCAGGGAGCTGCACGCCCACTCCCGGCACCTCTGGAAGGAGTCCTATCTCAGCAGTGACTTCATTTCCCCCGTGGAGTGTCCACAGACCCTAAGCCACACGGATTGCGGTGTGGGAGCTTTGATAGGCTTGTTTGTGCTCTCCCTTTGGGACCCTGCAGGCCCCACTGAGTGATAACTGGATGATGGAATATTTGCTAGGGGAAAGAGAATGCGTTTTTGTTAGATAAGGTTAGATTCCTGGCAGAAGGGAAGTTTCCGAATGCCTCTGCAGTGTCCAGCTTTGAGGAGTGGGTGCAGCTTTCCTACCCTCTCTCCTTGCTGGGGTATCCTGAGTTATTTATTGTAACTCCCCTCCCCCCAGGTGAACTCTTACCTTGGGGAAGTTGCCCAGGGCTGCCTGGGAGCAGGGCAGGGTGCTGTGTATGGGTGTCTCTGATTCTCTTGTCAGAATACTGCCCCTCTGCTGTTTTTGTTTTTGTTGTTTTTAAAGCAGTATTGGTGTTCCTGATAAGATTTTGTTTGAATAAAGGGCTTTGTCCCACATAACCAGCTAGGTCTTTGTGTTTACCCTTCTCTCCAAAATGGCTGCAGCTTCCTTAGGGAAGTCTTATTCAACGTCACAGTGTCCATGTGACCTGCCATGGGATGTGCACATAATTCTCTTTGTTGTCTCTGCCCACCGTGACCAGGTCTACAGGACCAAAGCCATACCCCTATTTCTGTCATTTAAGACCTTCAGCATCTGGCTCCAGACAAACTCTTCTCCTTCTCCTCCCTTCCCCAAAGTATCCTTCTCTCCATCAATCTAGAACTCCTCTTTCTTTTCCTCTGAGTCTTTCTTCTTTTTATTCCTGGCAAACCAGAGTCAGAACAGTATGGTGGGCTCTGGAGTGAGACCACCTGGGTTTGAATCTCGGCTCTGCCCCTTTCCATCTGTGATGCCATGGGCCAAATATCTAGCTGCTTTGTGCCTCAGTTCTTCTAGCTGTGAAATGGGGATAATAATATTCCTCTTAGATGTGTTGTGAGGATTGAGAGCAAAAACACATAAAGCACTTAAACCAGTGCCTGCACATAGTAAGTGCTTGACAAACAGGCTGTGGTGGTGGAGTGATGATGATGATGACAGAAGAGGAGGATAAAGAGGAGGAGATGGTAGTGGGGGTGATGTGATTTAAAGACCTTCTCTGTGAAGTCTTTTCCAGCTTACCAAGTAGGATTAGCTTTTCCCCTTCTGGGTTCCACATAGAACTAGATATTGATTTCTACTAGCTTGTGTCACACTTGATACCATATGCTTTTTTTCTCTCATATGATTGTTTTGCTAAGATATAATTCACTTGCCATAATAAATATAACTCAAAGCATGCAGGTCAGTGGCTTTAATATATTCACAAACGTGTTCGACCACCACTATGACCTAATCCCCATAAAAAGAAATCCTTCATCAGCCACTCCCCAATCTCCTCCCCCTCCCCCATTACCTTGCAACCACTAGTCTATTTTCTGTCTCTGTTGATTTGCTTGTTCTGGACATTTCATATAAATGGACTCCTACAGTATATGTCCTTTTGTGATTCCCTCCCTCCCCCACTTAATATAATGCTTCCAAGGCTCATTCCTATATCAGCACTTCATTCCTTTTTATAGCTGAATAATGTTCTGTGGTGAGGCTATCCCACATTTTGTTCTGCATAGCAAATGGACGCTTGGGTTATTTTGGCTGTTACGACTAATGCTGCTGTGAACATTCATGTACAAGCTTTTGTGTGGGCATATGTTTTCATTTCTCTTCAGTATCAACCTGGAAGTAGAGTGGTTGGCTCATGTGGTAACTCTGTCTCTAACTTTGCGAGGAACGGCCTAATTGTTCCAAAGCACCCGCGCCTTTGTACGGTCCCGCCAGCAGTGCGAGGGCTCCAGTTCCCCCAGCTCCTCGCCAGTACTTGTTGTTGTCCGTCTTCTTTGTTACAGCCGTCACAGCGGGTATAAAGGGACATCTCAGTGTGGCTTGATGATTAATGATGTGGAGCATCTTTTCATGTGCTTATCGGCCATTTATATATCTTCTTCAAGAACTGTCTATTCAGATCGTCTTCCTGTTCATTAACTGGGTTGTTGGTCTTTTTGTTGTTGAGCTGTAAAATTCTTGACAATTGTGATTCCTTATCAGATATATGATTTGCAGATATTTTTCTCACCTGCTGGTTATCTTTTCACTTTCTTCATAGTAGCCTTTAAAGCACAAAAGTTTTTCATTTTAATGAAGTCCAATTTATCTCTTTTTCCTTTTGTTGTTTATGGTCCCGGTATCACATCTAAGAAACCATTGCCTAAGCAAGGTCACAAAGATGCACCATAAGCTTTTACAAAGCAATCTTATTTTTAATAACCCTACAAGGAGAGGGTAGCAGGCCCGTGTCACAGATGAAAAAACTAAGAGGTCCAATGCCAGAGCTGGGACGTAAGCCCAGTTCAGTCTGACTCTGAACCTCACGTCTATCTAACTGTGTCTCCCCTCAAGTCCCTTTACCTCTGCATTCCTCACAGGCCCACAGGTGGAAGGTCCTACCAGGTGCTTGTTTTGTTTGCACTTGCTGTTCGATTTGGGTGGGTGGGGTTTGCTGCTGACCGTGGGTTTGTGTCTACGATGCTAGAGTCACTGAGTGCCTCTCTCTGCTCTCACCTCTGCAGTGTCTCATCGTTGGGGGCGGACCATGTGGTCTGCGCACGGCCATTGAACTTGCCTACCTGGGGGCCAAGGTGGTCGTGGTGGAGAAGAGGGACACCTTCTCCCGGAACAACGTGCTGCACCTCTGGCCTTTCACCATCCATGACCTGCGGGGCCTGGGAGCCAAGAAGTTCTACGGGAAGTTCTGTGCTGGCTCCATCGACCACATCAGTGAGTAGCACCAGTGGCGGCACCCCTTGAGGGGAAGGGGCTGAGCTGGGGACACATCTCTGCACATTGAGGAGTCCCCAGAATGTTCCATCGTGCAAGTCTCTGAGAGCTCCACACATCCGGCTGGCAGGACTTGCTTTGTGCCTTGGGCCAGGCCCTGTGCTATGCCCCCCATAAGCTATGAGCACCATGAGGTCAAGGACTGTGGCATGTCTTGTTCGCCAGAGTACCTCCAGAGCATAGAAGAGTGCTTGACATACAGTAGGTGCTTAATTAGCTTCTGCTGAGTGAATGAATGAAATATGGAAAACCGAGGCAGAGGGACATGTAGCATACTCTGCCCCGAGAGAGCTCACGGAGGTTTTGTCAGTAATGAAATGTGCTTTAACAGAGGAGTCAGACTTGGTAGAGGAGTTCGGAAGAGGGAGCCACACGAAGCCATTAAACGGGCCAGGTTGTCGAGGGCCTTTTGGGCAGGAGTACTGCTGGTTCTGGGGAACCCTGGCAGCTTTTAGGACAGAGGAATGCCACCACTCCTCATACCAAGTTTTATTGCGCTTTAAAAGGAAAGCACATCATGATGATGTTCATTCCGAAAAGGAGGGGAAAGACAGAACATGGGTTTCGGGCCTGGGCCATCCCTGAATGCTTAGGTAGGGCGAGGTGAGTGCTGAGTCGCTTCTGTCCAGATGTTTCTCATGCCTGGGCCTCTTGGGGCAAGATCTGTGCAGACGCACTTTGGGAGAGCAGCCTCCCTCCTCCCATAAAGAAAGGAGGTCTTTAGTCATTTTATATATAGTGACTCATAATTGTTAGGGCGGCTCATACTATGGGGAGAGTTCAAGGTTTGGACAGATTTGGCTCCAAAATATGTCTTGCCCATTTTTTCCGTGTGACTTGGGTCAAATTCCTTACCTTCTTCAAGATGCACTTTTGTCTCCCATAAATGTGATTAATACCTGCCTACCAGGATTGCTGAGGAATGAATAAGGTCAAGTTTGTAATGTACTTATCATTGTACCTGGTGCATAGTAACTACTCAGGAAATGCTTAACATCTAACCATGTACAGTGAGCAAGAAGCAGCCAGGGTCTCAAGGTTCAAAATTCAGAATTCAAAACATGGGTGGGAAGAGAATCCTGAAAACTATGTTTTTTATGAGAATAAGAACTGATAGGAAACGGGCATGGGATTCAAGTGGGAATGCCTGGAGAGAATGATCAGCTTCACAGGGTGTAATTTAGCCAGATGCAGGAGAACTTACCAGAAGCGGCTCCAGAGTTTATCCCTGCTCTGAGATGAGAAAATTCCATGAGTCCATTGGAAAGTAATTTGGATTTGCCCAGAAAGTTGCTGGGTCAGCTTTCAGGATATTCCTTACCACCCATTGGAAGAATGTATGCTGGTTAGCACTTAACAACAACATTGAGCACCACTTTCTCATCAGACCTTCCCTAGAGGCAGAGCCGGCACGGGAGGCCTGGGAGGGCCCCAGGGCTGTTGTGTTGCCTTCTGGGCCAGCAGCCCCTCTCTGCTCCCAATTAATCCCTAGTCCTTGGGACTACCCCAGTGTGCAGGAGAACTGGCAGTAGTGTGGAACCAAGATTCAGAGTGATCATTGTCAAGGGCAGCCCCAGTGCCTGTGAGAAGGGAAGCAGGTATAATTTATTGAGCACCTACTGTGTGCTGGAAACATATAGCCCAGGCCCATTTCCAGGCCCAGCTGATCGGCTTCCTTTCTGACGGACCAGGGTCTCCAACCCCAGCTGTGTCCTGGACCTCAGCATTGCACAGCTGTTCTCAACTTGTCCTGTGTCAGCATCTTCCTCCAGTTCCCACAGTAGCTGTTCCAAACCTCCACCACAGCCTCCTCATTCATAGCAGCTGGCCTCCCTCCCATGCTCTGGGGAAGAGAAGCCACCAGCAGGGACTTCCCATTCCAGCCCCTTCTCCTTCCTGCTCTACCCGTGTACTTACTCCTTCTTTTAACCCAATGTCAGAGGCAGAGCTGACCACCCCCTCTCCACACTGCTCCCTCTTGATTCCTTCTTCCCTTTTCACCTGCCCCATTACTTAGTCTTCCCACTTCTTACCTCACACTGCCCCTCCTCTGTCCTTTGTTGTTGCCCATCACTTTTCTTTACTTCCAAGTATTTATTCTAGAAAGAGATGTAGACTTTGTCTATACTTTCCATTCACGCCTCCTTGCATTGTGGTCTGATTTCTTCTTGACCACTGAGCACATGAGCTTTTCACCAAGGTCTCCAGAAGCTTCCTAGCTCCCAAGTGCCCTGGCCTCCCATAGTCTCCATATTCCTTCATCTCTCCAGGGATGTGGTACTCTTGGTCCCTCCTCCTCTCTAGGCATTCAGGATTGCAGCTCTGCCCCCACCGCCATGCCCCGCCCCATTCTGTATACCTGTGTTTCCCGCATTAGAGGGGGTATGTCCTATCTTCTGGACCTAACATGACACCTGGCTCAATGTAGATGTTCAGTAAATGTTAAATGAGCAAAGCCCACGAAATACAGAGGAACCCAAGAGAGTTTAAAACTGTACTCTACAAATATATATGCGGAGGCAACCATGTTTGTGCTGAAGAGTAGGGGACAAAGTAGAGAAACAGGGTGCCCCCATATTGGGGGTTTCAGATAAGAAGTTGAGAACATAAGTCCAGCTTTTTTTGTTTGTTAATTCTCTCTCGAGGATATTTTTCCCATTGATTTTTCAAAGAGAGTGGAAGGAAAGAGTGGGAGGGAGGGGGAGAGAGAGTGGTGGAAAGACAGTGAGTGAGAGAGAAACAAAGACACATTGATTGGTTGCCTCTTGCACACACCCTGATTGGAGCTAGGGATTGAACCTGCAACCATGTACATGCCCCTTGACCAGAAATCAAACTTGTGACCCTTTGGTGCACAGGCCAATAATCTAACCACTGAGCACACTGGCCAGGGTATGAGCCCAGCTTTGTGGAGAGAATTCCCCACCTCATTCCTTACCCTGGATGGCTAGGAGCTTAGGTTTAGGTTACCAAAGAATGATCCAGTTGATGGATGATTTTACTTGAGGTCGGTCTCTCTCTCTCTCTCTCCTGTTTTTTCATCTTTATCTTACTAAACCCAGAGCCCAGATGAGGAAGGAGGCAGGAACGAGAGCCTCCATCATTATAGCGTGATCTGACAGCTAGAGCACAGTCTTAGAATCAGGCAGAGCTGGGTCCACATTCTAGTCTGGCTTCCATGTGACCCTGAGCAAGTCATTTAGCCTCATTAACCCTCAATTTCTCATTTATAAAATGAGAATAATTATCCCAAAGGGGCACTGTAAGGGTTAAATGAGAAGACACAGAGTACATGACACATAAGTAGTGCCCAGTAGTAATCATTATTGATATATTGCTATACTCAGTGATCACTGAGCAGCGATTATATAATATTCTATATACAAGAGGCATCCAGGCATTGCTTCTGACAGCTTGTCTCTGCTTCCCTTCCTTTCTAACAGGTATTCGTCAGTTACAGCTCATCCTATTCAAGGTCGCCCTGATCTTGGGAGTTGAAATCCATGTGAATGTGGAGTTTGTGAAAGTTCTGGAGCCACCCGAAGATCAAGAAAACCACAGTAAATATAACTTTCCTCTTCTGTCTAGAAATGAGACATTGTAAGATGGAAATTACATCTGCAGCTCTCAAGAATTTGACAGTTATTCTTATTTGGAGCTGTTTGACATAATTTCATCATTGGCTATTTTACCTTTATTTTTATTTTTATTTTTTTTACCATTGCTATCACTTTAGGTTTGCTCTTCAGCTCCCAGGGGATATATTATTAAGCCATAAAACCTGTAATTTGATTATCCTGTCACTAGTAGGCACCACTTTGACAAAGGAAGTCAAATCAGGAGTAGGCTGGAAGACAGATTTGGTTATCTGGTCAAGTCCATTCACATGCTCTTCAAGCTGTGTACACGCAGATATGAGGATACACTTGATGTACCTGTAGTATTAGAGTCTACTAAAGAATGTCAAGTTTCTAGAGCAAATATGAAATACATGTTTCAAATATTATTTGGTATATAATATTTTTAAGCTTTATCGAAGTCTAATTTACAAATCATAAAATTTACCCATTGTAGTTTTGTCTTATTTAGCAAACCCTCCTTTTGTAGAGTGTGTATGTAAATTCTGATTCTGTCTGTACACTATGGTCAGAGGGTTTGCTTATGATGCCTTTGCATTGTCCTCATCAAATCTTCTCCTGCCTGGACAGGGCTCTCAGTTTTGAGCCAGATAGTGTTGGAGACCTCACAGTTTCACACCCAGCACAACTCTGATTTCTCCTGTCTTAGCTGGAATATCGAGAGCTTAGGGGAGGTGTTATTTGGCTTTTGTCACTGGGCATCAGTTAAACTCTGAGACCCATGTGCTGTTCATCTTTCCCAGACCTCCAGTGGATCTTAAATTCTGATTATGAGTAGCCATCAACGTTTCATTTAAATATGGTTTCATAAAAGACTGTGTGCTGCACAATGGAACCTTTTTCATAATGAAGTAGGAATTCAAACTGGTTTCATTACACCCTGCATATCCTTTTGGGTCTATTCAGCAATGGAAGGGCCCTGAGGAATGTGGGGAATATAAAAGAACATGGTAGAATCTGTTAAAAAAAAAAAAGAAAAAAGAAAAGAAAAGAAAAGAAAAAGGATGCAAGTGAGACTGGTTTGAGAATCATTGAGGATAGACTCCCAGCCTTTATAGAAACCAATAAGACCAGGCATGGAGTTGGTGCTGCTGGTTTACTTCATCTTGGACTGAACTGAGACTAAAGCCAGATTCCAGTGTGAATCTGGGCAGCGCCGGGTCTTTCCTCTGGAAGCTCCATCTGGGGCACCTACACCAGGGGGCATGGTCCCTTTCTCCTGGCCAACACAGAGGGGGTATAATCACTCTCTCTTCCCACCACTCTCTGTGCCAACTCATCTCCCTTTTCTGTTTTGTTAGAAATTGGCTGGCGGGCAGAATTTCTCCCTGCTGACCACTCCCTGTCAGAGTTCGAGTTCGATGTCATCATTGGTGCTGATGGCCGCAGGAACTCACTGGAAGGTGAAGACTCTTCTTTTTGGGGCCCAGGATGGGGAAACAAGTGGGAGGGGTTGTATCTGGAAGGGGGTGGAGAAAAGGGGGCAAGGTGACAGGTGCCAAAACTGGAAGGGGTCTTGATAGAAGGCAGACCACCTTGTCGTGCCTGAGGTGAGCATCTAGAGAGCAGCCATTTAATTCTCTCTGAACCTTGGTTTTTCCAACTAAAATGTGGAAAATCAATCCCTGTTAAAGCATTGTTACAAGGGCTGGGAAAGGACTCCTATGTACAGAGGCTTTGTTAAGGTTAAATGCCATAAAAATTAAAAGAAAAAATCCACCTGCCTTTATTGAACATACCTGCCAATGTTCAAGCCATGGTGCTAAGCACTTTCCCACTGACTTCATCTCAGAAAAGCATGTGTATATTATTAATGGCATCAGTTTGCTGTTGACTGCAGGGCCTCCCAAATGTAGCTGGCTGGTCAGGAACTTGGGCTTGCAATTGGCCTCTGAAGTGGAGGGCAGTTTTGTGGGACTGAGCCCTTCGCCTGCAGAATCTAATGTTGTATCTGGGTGGACAGTGTCAGAATGAGATGAATTATAGAACCCCCAGCTGGAGTCCTAGAATTGCTTGTTGGTGTAGGGAGGAAAAGAAAACAAATTGTAATTGAATATAGAGTTCTTACTGCCATTAAAAAGAAATTCCAATGTAAACCATTGAGAACTGTAAGGACCCCAAGGAATCACTGTACTATCGAATATATTAATTGCAATTTAGAATGTTATCTGTTTATCATACTTTTATTGAATGTATGATAAGTGCCAGCCACTAGACTTGAGTTAGGAAGAAATTTTGTTTTTTGTGTGTGTTTTTAACAGTATTTTTATTAACTTCAGAGAGGAAGGGAGAGAGAGATAGAAACATTAATGAGGAGAGAGAATCATTGATCAGCTGCTTCCTGCACACTCCCTACTGAGCCCATAGCCAGGGATCAAACCATGACCTCCTGGTTCATAGATCAATGCTCAAGCACTGAGCTAGCTACACGGGGTGGGCAGAAAATTTGTTGTTTCTGTTTCTGCCCACAGGAATTCAATATCATACTCCTATTTTTCATAGGGGGGGGGTTAAAAAACATAAAAATGTTAACAAAGGTTTTAATTGTATGAGTTTACACTGCACATGAATCTAACACATCCTGAACAGGATAGGTGTCTGTCAGAGAACATCACTTTAGCCTTTGTTTGTCACAGCTGGCCAGGGTGATGGGTCCTGAAGATGTTAGAGAATGAGAAAGTCTTACTGATTCAGAATGGCCGCTGGTGTCTCCCCTGTGTGCAAAGCCCGGCATTGCTGCTGCCCCAATCCCAGATGCAGAATTCTGCTTTCGAGACCGATAGGCGTCGGAGAGCAGCTTTCTCAGTTGTCTTTTCCAGCTTTCACACCAAATCCAGAAGAAAGACCCACTCCTTCCCTTTCCCTTCGCAGGGTTCAGGAGGAAAGAGTTCCGTGGGAAGTTGGCTATTGCAATCACTGCCAACTTCATAAACAGAAACAGCACCGCTGAGGCCAAGGTGGAAGAGATCAGCGGCGTGGCCTTCATCTTCAATCAGAAATTCTTCCAGGACCTTAAGGAGGAAACAGGTGAGACTGTCACCTTTCTCCAAACCAGGCCACTGTCACTTCCCCGAGGAGCAGCTGCATTTCCCAGCTCTAGGGTCTGGGATACTCACGCCGATTGAGTGGAAGCAGGGATTTCTCCTTAATAATGGGCAGGATTCCTTCCAGGACAAAGGGATTCTTGAGGGAAAGTTCTAGATGTTGTATGTGTCTATAGATACATATTTATTTTCTCAGGAAACATTTGCTGAATGCCCATTATGTCCTGGGATTGAATAACATGGGATATAAAGCCAAGGCTGACATGGTCCCCACCCAAAGTGCTTCCTGTCCAGGGTGGGATTCCATGGTACCGCTCCTAATACAGCCCAGTCTGGCTGTGTGGAGATTAGTGTGAGATTCAGGGAGCACTCTGAGTGGGGAGCCAGTCCCCTGGGGGTGGTCCCTGAAGAAGCCCAGGTGCCTTTGTGCGGTGTGCCAGGTGCCCTTCCTCCCAGGGGTCCAGGGATGCCCAGGGAGCTTGACACTCACCCAGGGCCTAGAGGAGCTGTTCATGTATTTACTTGACAAGTACACATTGAATGCCTATGAGGTGCCAGACGGTGTTCAAAGGTGTGAGACAGAGAAGTGGGCCAAACAAAACCCACTCTTGGAGCTCACATTCTGTAGAGGGAGACTTTCAGTAAGGGGGGTGGGGGGGTAGGGAATAAAGCAAGCCCAGGGGAAAGTGAGGTACCAAACACCTGAAAAGACTTGAAAAGGCAGTGTGACGACAATGGTAAATCTTTACACTAAAATACTAGTACATCATCCACGCCCAGCACCACCTGGCCCAGGATACGCCTCATTTTCAGTGCTTCTTTTCAGTGACTTTTCACCTGCATCTCCCTCCCTACCTTTCCCATGGACCTAGCTCTCCTGATAATGCCAATGCTCTTTGTTATTTTGCTTTTCTCATTCGTCCTCACATTTTAAATACTGCCCCCATGGCCGCCTGGTCTAGTTGTCCCGATGGTCAGTTTTGGCAGAATAGCTCATTCAGTAGATGTATTGTCACTGCTTAATTGTTTACTCAATGGGGTGGCAAGCTGGCTGGCCACATGTTTCTGTCTTGCCTTCGAGCAGAGCATCACTTAAACATATTTCAATGGCTGAAGAAAAATCAGAAGGAAAATATTCTGAGAAATATGGAAAGTTATATGAAATTCAAGTTTCAATGTCTAAAAAAGAAAGGTCTATGGGACCCCCCAACCCCCAATGCATTTACCTCATTGCTGGCACTGCTCGCCCAGGAGGGGCTGGGCACAGACCGGAGGGCTCACAAGGCCCAAAGTGTTGACTCTCTGGCTCTTTACAGAAAAAAGCCTGCTGACTTCTGATTTAGACCTTTCAGTTACTCACTGTCACCGCTGAAACTGCTTTTGGGGATTGTTTTGTTAAGCTAGTTTTCTAGGAATGGGGTTTGGCCTCTGCCCGCCCCCGTGATGTGTGCCCACTGCATGACCCTCTGAAGTTCAGCAAGGTTGAATTATTTTATTTTATTTTTTTAATTATTAAAAAAAAAAAAAAAAAAAGGATTTTCTTTCAGCAGATTAGGTCCCTTTGAATGATTTAAGAATTCTCCAACCCTCCCTTCCCCTCAAAAACCAGGAAAATAAATACTTAAATAAACCACTAACTATAAATTCTGACAGGACCTGGGGTGTGTTTTTCCAAATGTCTGAATGGGCTTCCTTTAAACGCTGCTGTGGCCGTCACCTTTGGCCATTGTTTCACAGCCGGCCCCTCACACGGTGATAGCGCTGATTTCCGCTGATTCTCTGGGGGCCCTCTGCCTTGATGGCTGTTTCCTATTTAGTAGTAATAACGGGGTTCCTATGGTTACCCAGCACGCCTCCGTGTCCAATGCGGATAATTGCCATGCGTCTGCTCCCCTCCTTCCTTTGGAAGAAGCTAAGCCAGTGCATCTCAAAGGTGAATCCAGTCACCCCCAGGGCTTCTGATTCAGCAGGCCGGTGCCCTCCCTGGTCATTGGCATTTCTAATATGTCCTCAGAGGCTTCTGGCTGGGGTCCCCACGTTGAGAAGCACTGAGCTAAGCTCTCCTCTCATTTGAAACCTAGTCTATAAAGTGGCTTTGCAGTGGGTGGAAAGTGAGAAAATGATACAACCTGGCCCTCTCACCTGAGTTGCTCCTGCTGGGGCACCTGGTGTCTGCACGGAGCCAGGAAATGGTAGAAACCTCACCTAGCTGTATTCGCTTGGGTAAATTCTGGCACTCGGTCTTATTTTCATCAGCCTCTTCAGTCATGACTTTAGAATGTATCTAGCGTAAATATGCTGCAGGTAACACACGGGCAACGCATAGCTCCTGGCGCCCTGGGCACCGAGCACGCGGGACTGAGCGCCGCTCGCTTCTCTTTCCAGGGATCGATCTGGAGAACATTGTCTACTACAAGGACTGCACCCACTACTTTGTCATGACTGCCAAGAAGCAGAGCCTGCTGGACAAAGGGGTCATCATCAACGTACGTCTCTCTGGGCTGTTATGTCCCGCTTTTCCCTTGGCACCTGGGCTGGCGGCATCGGCCTGTATAGGAGCAGCCATGTCCTGCCAGGAACTGAACCAGGGGGTGGGGAAGGGAGTGCCTCCACCACTGTCCTTCTCCTTGGTGTTGTGCACACAGCCCACACCAATGCATGCAGAGGCATTTCTGCAGAGAACTGGGGGGTGGGAGGGAAGGGGAGGAGGATGGCAGGGGAGCTGGGTCCTTCACCCAGGTGTTACTGAGGGTCTTTGCCCCCTGAGAGATCACCTGAGTCGTCTTCTCCCCCACATCTCCTTCAGCCCCGCCCTCTTTTCTGGGAGGGCAGTCCTTTGGAGGCAGGTGGGGGCTTCTTGTCCAAGTGGGACACAGAGATACTTTCACTGTGAATTTCATGCTGTAGCCTCCTTGTCATGGAAGGGGAAAGCTCTAGTCATAGAAAGACTTGAGTTGAGCTCTGCCTGGTGTGGTTAAGTGGTTAGAGTGTCAGCCTGCAAACCAGAGGTCGCCAGTTCAATTCCCGGTCAAGGGCACATACCTGGTTGCAGGTCCGATCCTCACCCTCATGTGGGAGGCAACCACTCTTCAGGTGAGGATTAAATCATTGAGTTGAGTCTTGGCTCTGCCACCTGTTCACTCAGGGCAGCGACTAGGCTGCCTAACCTTTCTGAACCTCAGCCCTCTCGTTTGCAGAGCAATAGTTTCTGTCTGAAAGGTGGTCTGGAAGAGCACCACGCCTAGCATGTAGTGGATCGCAGGTTCCCTCCACACCTTCTCCGCCTGCTTTGGCACCTGCTTTTTTTGTCCTGCTGGCTTCCTGGCCGGATGCTGCTTTGGTCAGATGCTCCATCTCTCCTGAGCCCCTGATCCTGCCACTGAGATAAGGATCTCAGTCCAGGGTCAGCCTGCTCTCCGCACCAGCCTGCAGCCGAGCAGCATGGTGACCATTCGCTGCCGCTTGTCAGAGAAGAATGTCCCTATCTTCTCACCAGCCCCTGCTGGCAGTGGCCGGGTGGCACTCGTAACCCAGCCCTCCCCTGGGCCTCCTCCGCATTGCTCAGGGGTTTGATGAAAACCTAAGTTGCCGGAGGGGGGTGAATGAAGCCAGCTGAGCACCACCAGCAGAGGTGGAAGCAAAGGCTCAACATGGGGTGCCGCCTGCTGCCCTGGGGGAGGCAAGGTGGGTCTCCCCTTCTTTCCTCTGCTCCCAAAGTTGCCACCGCTGTTGGAAAGCCTGTGTCAGATAGTGGAGGAGTGTTTGGCCCCAGGGGCAGGTGCAATGGGTACCCTTGCAGTGGGGAGGAAGGATGGCATCTTTGTCAGCCCCTCCCTGGGGCATTAGGCAAAGTGTGACTTGGGTTTCCTGGGTCCCTGGCTGAGAACTCCAGCCTCTGGACGCTAAGCTCCCCTCAGGTCACCCCAGGGCACTGTTCCAGGCCACAGCATGATGCTCATGGTGACTCGATTCCTTGGCATTGTCTGAGCCCCTTCACCTCTTGTCTCGGGCTCTCCATCGTGGCTCACTCTGGTCCCACATATCATAACTATGGAGGAGCGGGGAGCAGACCCAAGCCCGTGCTTGTCCTCACCCAGGGCTTTCCTCCCCCTCAGAGTCTCTGGGAGCATCTTCTGAGCTGTGCTGAGGGGCTTGTAGGTATAATACACGGACTCTTACCTAGAAATTGGCTGGGCATGGGAGAACTGGACGCCCATTCGGTTCAGGAGCGCTGGCCCATCTCCAGGGTCCAGCTAAGCTTTATAGTGTTTGCATAAGCTGGGAGCCAAACCATGTGTCCTGAGCCACTGGAATTACATTCATCTCTTGCTCCTGAGGGAATGGCAAGTCCTCCCTGAGTCCCTCTTCCCCTGTGGGTCAGCATCCTCCTCCAGGCACACAGGAGGTGCTGAGAACACTGACTGACTGATTGACCTGCTTCCCCCTCTGTTCCTGCTGATCTCTGGGCTGCTCTCTATGGCTTCTGAAGGAAGAGGGACGTTTCTCCTTGAGATACCAGGCCTCTGGGCTCCCAGCTGTGCCCACCTGGCTCTCCTTCACTGGGAGGGGCACACCCCCAGGGACCCTGCCTCTGCCGGCCCTACAACACGCAGGCAAGGATTCTGGGATGCAGTGGGCTTGGTCTCATCATGACGGGAGCTTGGCGGCCAGGTGTGTAAGGTGGATGCCCATCACAGCTGGTCGCCTGAGCCCACCCTCATTTGAAGCACTGGACAAGCCTTGCCCGGCCTTCGCTTCTGGCCTCCAACCTCTTTCCAGCTTACCACTTGGGGTGACCATACTTCTGGCTGTTTTATCCACCTTTGCTCATTTTTGCTGCTTCCCTCTACTGCCCCACCTGTCTGTCTAGCATTCAGGCTCGCTTCAGTACCCTGGGCCTCTGGCAAATGGGGCCCAATTTCATTCCCCTGCTTTTATCGGAATTTAGAACTGCTTCCCCATGCCTGCCACTTTCCCCAGAGCCTCAGTCCCACTTTTTTCCTTCTTGTTCTTGTTTCTATCCCCTCCCAGAATTCTCCTTTTGCCATCCACCCACACACCTGCGACTCCTGCCCTGCAAGGCCCCCTGGCTCCTCCCAGTAACCCCGGGCCAGAGGGACTGTCATCCCAGTGCCTCCTGGGGGTCCGTCCCTTTGCCAGGTCCCGCCCTCCTGCTTGGGGGACATTGGCCCCAGACATTGCATGTTGTCCACACTCATCACCCAGTCCACCTCCAGGTGCTTGCAGCATGTCTTGAAGAGGGGGCTTTCTGAGGCCTGCCTGTTGATGTTTCCCTCTCTCCTCTCCACACCTGCAACGGAAGGAAGTGACCATGTCAGTGTAGGGATAGGTCGGAGAAGGGAAATCAAATAGCTGGAGCTCCAGCCTGGGCGCAGTGACCTAACAAAGTGCTCAAGGCCAAAGCCAATGCAACTTGGGGGGGTGGGGGGCGGGGGGGGGGAAGACGTGGTGTAGGTGTGGAAATATTGGAATTCCTGGGACAAGGTATTTGAAGGCATGGCCATGGGGAGAATGGACCCCGTAGGTCACTCTGTAGATGAGACTGTGCCTTCTTTGTAAATGCTCTTCCTGGTGCCTTGGAGTGGAAGTCCAGGCTGCACTCACCACAGGCTGCATTCAATGTCATGGTTATTGAGGAAAGGAATTCCCACTCATCGAGCCCTTCCCATGCACCCACATCAGGCTGCGGGTTCCATATAGTCTCCTTCAGTCCTCCAACAGCTCTGTGAATGAAGTTTGTTATCCCCATTTTACAAGTAAGAAAATGGAAAGTCAGAGGAGTTTACTAACTTACCCACATTCACTCAGTCGGTAAACAGCAGAGATGGGATTAACATGTTGCTTTCAATAACCTAAGGCCTGTGTCGGGCTTATACACACTAGTCCCTGCCCCACCTTCCCCCAGGGATGTGCACCTTCTGTGTCACAATTTGGGAAAGATGGACTTTTAGTTTCTTTCGCCACAGGATGAGCAGATTAGATTTGGGAGACAGTGTCCTGCAGGTCCCTCCAGGATGGGTATCCTGGCCCGCTAGGTTCAGATTCTCCACCCGCTGGAGGAAGTACAGCAGTTCATACTGTGAGCGCAGCCTTGGGCAGCCTTCAGCCTTCCATCAAGAAAAGGGGAAACAAATTTTGGAGAGCAAGTCTGAGTGACGGAAATACCCATTTATTTTCTGGTCCCGTTTGCCCACTAAATGTCGCACATCTGGACCACATCAGCTTAGCTTAGTTCATTACACACTCACTCTTCCTCTCACTCCTTTCTCTCTTAATTTCACTGAAGTTATCAGGAGAACCAGCCTTACAGAAGGTGCTGCTTTGTTTGCTGCAAGACCGTTAGTATGTTCAGGGTCCACCGCAACACCAAGCTGTCTGTGGGAACCCCTACGTGAGACTGTTCTTTTAGAGCTTAGTGCCAGGAAAAAATTACCTCGCCGGGGAATTCATTGCTGCTTTCTTTCTGATAAGGCGAGAACTGTGATAGACCTCATTTCCCTTTTGGCTTGGATGCTTAATCAGAACTCTGTTCACCCTCACAGCTGGCCAACTGGGTTCCTCTTTCTTCCCTTGGCCCTGGTTTTCTATGTCTGCTTTGACTAGCCTCCCTGTACAGACCCCGTTCCAAGTCCTTCTGCGAGGGAGGGGGTGCCAGTCGGTCCTCGCCCCCGGAGGGGCAGGCGGCCGCACTGTGCTCCCATTCTCCCCACAGGACTACATCGACACAGAGATGCTGCTGTGCTCGGAGAATGTGAACCAGGACCACCTGCTCTCGTACGCCCGCGAGGCTGCAGACTTCGCCACCAACTACCAGCTGCCATCCTTAGACTTCGCCATGAACCACTACGAGCAGCCCGACGTGGCCATGTTCGACTTCACCTGCATGTACGCCTCGGAGAACGCGGCCCTGGTGCGCGAGCGCCAGTCCCACCAGCTGCTCGTGGCCCTGGTGGGCGACAGCTTGCTTGAGGTACCGCCCACACGGCACGTGGGGCCCCTCACTCCTGCCTGAAGAGAGGCCCCCCATTTATGTTTGCCTGGCAGCCTCCGCTGTCACACAGCCGGGGGTGGGCAGGCCCTCGGCCAGTCGGAAGGGCTCCACAGAGCCCAGCTTGGCCTCAGAGCCGGCCCTTCCACGCAATCCAGGGGAGCCAATGTGTCTGTATGGGCCAGAGAGCTTTCTCCTCCTCCTTGGGGTGCTTCTGTTGAAGTACAAACTCAGGGGGCCTGGTCTGGACTTCAGGGCACCCTTCTCAGAGCACCTGGGCCCTCAGCTGGGCCAAGATCCCTTCCTCATGTGGGTGGGTTTGTGCGGCCTTGTAACATTGAAGTCATGTAGGAGGCGGAGAGGCATTTGGGCCCAAAGTCCAGTTCTGTCCGTGACCTCCCTACTCAGAAGGCTTCCGAGAAAATCCGCAAACACTAGGATCCTTAGGTTACATAAATTCCCTCAGAAGGGATCTGTTTTCATCTTCAGGGGAACCACTAACCAGAATGTGCTTATGTACTTATCCCAAGGTAAGCATCCAGTCCCAAACCATGCTGTGGGCGTACACAGGCCCGTGTAGTCAGCAGGGCGTTTGATGACTCGCCTCTTGCTCACCGTGTTTGTGGATGACAACCTAAGCTCCTTGGTGAAGGAGCTCCATTCAGCACCTCACCCCACACCCACTTCTCAGTTTCTCCTCAGTACTCTGCTCCATAATCACCGCTGAACCCACACCACGCAGACCCTGCACCCACCAGGCTCTGCCATCTCCAGCCACAGAGACTTTGCCCACTATCTCCCCCCATCCCCGCTGGTCTTGCATGGATTAAATCTGAATCCTATGCATTCTTTCAGTCAGCACAAATGCATCTTTTATGAATCATTCCCCCTTTCTGTTCCCCAGGGTGGGAGTTTGCCTCTGCCTCTTTTGAGCCCCAGAGCATTTTTGCTATTCCTGTGTCCTAGGCCCCTTTATTTAGGGCTTGGTTTGCGGATATTTGTATTTGCGGTGAATCTTAGCAGCTGCCCAATCACCTCTCCCCCAACCTGAATCCCACCACACCCTGCATCCCCAGAGCCTCGCCTGGGCCTGGCAATGGGAGAGTGCTGGATGGAACTGGATAGCAGGCTGGGAGTGGTTAGAATCACACCACATGTCCATTTTCCTTTGCAGCCCTTTTGGCCCATGGGCACGGGCTGTGCCCGCGGCTTCCTGGCAGCCTTTGACACAGCCTGGATGGTGAAGAGCTGGGACCAGGGTGCTCCTCCGCTGGAGCTGCTGGCTGAGAGGTGAGTGTGGGCCGGGTAGAGGGCTGGGAGTTGGGGGCAGGAAGGGAGCACAGCTGGCTGCTAGGTGGCACCTGGATGAAGCTCGGTCCCCTCCCACCTGCCTTCCCACACGTAGCTTGATCATCAGGGTCCCCAAGGACATGTTCTCTGTCACGATCTACCTCCTTCAGTGACTCTCGTGGGGCCAGGACCATAGGCCCTCGATGCCAAAGAGAAATGTTCATCCAGGGTAGTCCTGAAGTTGGGGTTCCGGCACTGTTCAGTTGCCTGGAACCCAGAAGAGGTTTGGGGGAAGGTGCCATGGAGCGCTGAGTACCCCACCCTGTTGGGGGCTGGTCATCTGATCCCCCAGGAGAGCCTGGGCTTCCTCCCAGATCCCTGCTGTTGGCCACGTAGCTGTGACAGCTGGTGGCCTGGGAGCAGTAAGGACTGGTGGGTGGGGACCGGCCTTGGCTGGTCTTGGGTGTGGCGGCCTGTGGTCATGGGGGATAGGCCACCGGAGCCCGTGTGGCTGAGTGGTGGTTATAACAAAACCACAGGTCCCTGTGCTGCCAGCTCTGCCTGGGGGAAATGCCAGCTTCCCCATCTCCCGGGCTCCTTCCTACCTCCTCTGCACCCCTTGAACCTTCCCCACTTTGCAGGCCTCAAGAACCACGAGGGTCAGGCTTTGCAGGGAAGGGTTATGCAAACACATCTGAGAAGCTCTTGAGAGCACGAGAGGATGGGAGTGGGGACCATTGCCTCAGGATTCAAGAGCAATCCCAACCCCATGCCCTGCCTCCCTCCAGAGAAAGTCTTTACCGGCTGTTACCTCAAACGACCCCGGAGAACATAAACAAGAACTTTGAGCAGTACACGCTGGACCCAGGCACACGGTACCCAAACCTCAACTCCCACTGTGTGCGGCCCCATCAGGTAAGTCCTTCCCTGGGATCTCGTCTGGGTCCCCTGCACTGAGCTGTGGGAAGGAGGGGTCCCCTGAAATCTCAGCACATCCCTGGGACCAAGGCCACCAAGGCCCCTGGGCCCTAGGGGAGTCACAGGGTAACATGGAGTCAGCACCTCTCTGGCCCATAGGAGAGAAATAGAACACATGTAAGTGGATGTCCACATTTGTACATATATTTACACACATTTGTCACTGTGTGTGTGTGTTGCTAAGCGTAGCTCCCTCAAACAATCTACTTGGCGAATATGAGTCCTTTCCATCATCGTCCTAGAGGCCTCTTATTCTCTCCCATTGACTCAGAGCCTCTCAGTTAATAGCTCCAACAGTGGGGTGCATTTGAAAAGTTAGCCCATGACCTGTATTTACATGTGAGTGCTTCCACATCTGGGTGGATAATTGCAGCCCATCGCTCTGTGTCCCAGGTGGCCTGGGTTCCCTCATGGAGGGTCCTAGCGGGAAAGGAAAGGAGTGGCCGATAGATGCTAAGTTGAGAAGATCAGGTGCCGAGGCCCCGCAGCTGGGATGTGGAGGAAGACTGGTGGGCAGCTGCGTGGTCTCTCTTGCTTGTAGGTGAAGCATTTGTACATCACTAAGGAGCTGCACCACTCCCCCCTCAAGAGGCTGGGCTCCATGAGGAGATCCGTGGGCCTCTCCAGGCAGGGTAAGCTGCCCTCCCGGGTCCCCTGGGAGGGGCTTTGCAGGGAGGAGGCTGCCCAGGGGCACAGAGAGCCTGGGTGACCTTGGCCAGGCTCCGCTCATCTGCTCTTCAGTGTCCCCTTCTGTGAAACCGGGACAGTGACACCCTACGGAATAATCGCCATCAAGGCGTTCATACGTGTTGCATGCTTGGCATATTACAATGAACTGCAAAATTACCTCCCTGGGACCTGCTCTTCTTTTCCTTTTATATCCAGTCTGGGGTCTGCCTCCATGTGCTCCACTCTCTTCCTGGTCATCCAGAGCCTAATCCCCATGACTACAGAGCTGGAGGGAAAGAATGATACAGGAATAACTCCAAGCACCCATCAGGCCTTGCTTAGGTCACCATCCTGCTTATAGGTCTCTCTGGCCTCCAGTCACTCACCCAGACCTTGTGTCCTCCCTGCTTTAGGGCTCACTTGGCCTTACCAGCCACCCCCCTTCCCTCCAGCACCACGTGCCCCACTGCTGCTGCCCGTCATCCTCCATGCTACACAAACGGGGAGGGTTTTCCTGGTCTTTCCACGGCGCAGTCCTTTCTGGTTTCCTGCAGTGCCTTCTTCTGTCTGATTAATTGCTAGACACTTTTTAATAAGCAGCTCAAATGTACCTTCTTTGTGCCTCTCTGTGGCAGGCCCCAGCCCTGGCAGACACCGGGCAACCCTACTCACAGGTCCCCCCCACCCCCACACACCCTGCTTCTCCATCATTATGGCATTGCATCATTGTCACCCGCATCCGTGTCTGTCTTCCCCACTGAATGAGATGCTGGCAGAGTCCTCGTCATCCTGCCTCTGTTCCAGAAGGTCTTGGGGACCTGCTGTAGGAGAGCATGCTTCCTGCCCCAGCATCTTGCTCTCCCACCATGCTCTCCACAGGGCCCCTTGCCTTGGCGCTATTCCCCATGTTTCCATAAATGGGTCAGTCAGAGAGCAGTCCCTAGGGGTCCCTGAGATTTCCCCAGAGCACCTCACTGTCTGTCTCCCATTACTGCAGAGTCAGACATCCGGCCCAGCAAGCTCTTAACCTGGTGCCAGCAGCAGACCGAGGGCTACCAGCACGTCAACATCACCGACCTGACCACGTCCTGGCGGAGTGGCCTGGCCCTGTGTGCCATCATCCACCGCTTCCGGCCTGAGCTGATGTGAGTCTGGAGCCCAGCTGGGCCTGCCCAGCTCCTCACTGCCTGCAGGGGACCCTGGAGACGAGGAGAACCAGGACTGTTCTGCTAGAGGCAGAATCTACAGAACTTGGTTCAAAATTTCTCTTTGCATATTTTTGATTTGAGTTTTTTCTTAAGTTTGTTTTGTTTCCCCTTTGCACTGATTAATCTGCCCACAACTGCTTTGATCTGTGTTCCTAATATGTAACTCAGGCTCCGTGGTTACCCGTCTCCCACCCCTCCATTTCCATACGTGGGAAATTTGAGCATTCCCACCATGGAGTTCTACCCTTAGGCAGGAATTATGGGTAAGACCTAATTCTTGAGGTGGGAAATGTGACGGTTTATAGCCCAAATAATTAGAGCTGAGACCCAAATTGACTAGCTGAGTACCATTGGGCAAGCTGCATGCCTTCTCTGAGTTTGTTTCTTCGTTTATAAGTTGGGAAATATATCAGGTTCATTAGGGAGATTGAATTATGTGAATACCTCGTGACGTTGAAAGCACAATGCATCGATTGAAGTTGTGTTTAAATCAGTGTGTGTGGGCAACCTCACGCCCACGAGCAAAGGCATCCAAAAGGCTGAAAGGAGACCTACGAAGAGGTTATCAGTTGGTACCTGTAGGACAGGAGGTTGCCATGAGAAGGGGGTGTGACTCTCACTTATCACTTTACAGGTTATAAATCACTTGATTCTTTTTTGACCAGAAGCCCATGTTAGTTTTGTAAAGAAAAGAAAACAAACATAAGGGAACTACCTAAAGGCAAAGTAGCTCATGCATTTCAAATGGCAGGCACCATCTTCTGACAGCCGTGATGTTCTTGTGACCCAAATCTGGACAGTGTTAGCTTCTTGTGACTGAGGCTCCCGGGCAGTGGGGTGGGGGTGTGATTTGAGACCGGGGCTGGGGTCACTGCTCCTTCACTCCCCCACCTCTGCCTCTTCTCCCTGAGTTTCGCCTTGTTCTGATTCTCCAGCAACTTTGACTCTCTGAACGAAGATGATGCTGTGGAGAACAACCAGCTGGCGTTTGACGTGGCCGAGCGAGAATTTGGCATCCCCCCAGTGACCACAGGCCAAGAGATGGCGTCAACGCAGGAGCCCGACAAGCTCAGCATGGTCATGTACCTGTCCAAGTTCTATGAGCTCTTCCGGGGCACCCCGCTGAGGCCTGTGGGTAAGCACCTGCTTTGGACCACGCTTCGCTCTGCCCTTGAGCCAGTTCTGCCCTGTGCCGCCCCTGGCTGCTCTTTACCCCGGTGTCTTCTGTTCTGGGCTGACACATGCTTTCCCTTTGTCTTTGAGGCCAAACAGGGGTGGGTCCCACACACCCAGACCTGTGTGTGTACATGGGTCTGTGTGCCGGTGATGCATGATGCTGGGGCCTGGTCTTCCCCTGGCATTGGCGGTCTCTGGTGGGACTGCACAGCTCCCTACCCAGGCCATTCACATCTTTCATCAGGGGGGAGAAAATTACTTTGGAGGGACCTTATAGGAGTGACACCCCTGAACCCCTGGGTAGCTGTGGCAGGATCCAGATCTCAGCCATACTTTTCCTTCCTAACAGACACTTGGGGCAAAAACTATGGAGAAAATGCTGACTTGGGCGTGGCCACATCATCCCTTCCTCACAACTATCTCAACCTCACGCTTCCCAGGAAGAGGACTCCACGAGTAAGTCCAGGCTTGGCTTTCCTTTAACTGCTTTTTGCGCATGGAAGGGGCTGGGTTGGAGAATGTCCTGCTCTTGGTCTGTGTCTGCTGATAAATCACACAGAAGACTCACACAGTAAAACTCAATGAGTTCCCCCAGACTTTGATGACTTAGAAGCCTTTGCAGGAAGTCCTTGTGGATCAGTGCAGCCTCCTAGGTGGGGAGGAGAGACAGCTTCTCACTTTGTTGAGCAGTTTATTTAGACCAAGAACACAGGGGCCATTGAGTGGCAGGGCGGTGATGCTACATTTACACATCCTGTTCTATTCATTTTTTTATTCATTCAACGAATGTCCATTGGACCCTACAGTGTGCCAACATGAGGGCTGAACTTTTAGTTAGTTTGTGACAAGGGGAGGAAATGGACAGAAATAACTACTATGTGCTCCTTGCCTTTGAAGAGCTCAGAGACAATATAGAGGTTCCCAAGCTTCCCTGCCCTATGGCACACTGCCTGTCTCAGTACTTTTTTTCTCAGTGCTCCTCGGTCCAAAGAAACGCCCAGGAGTTCCATTTGTTCAGTAGTTCAGTAGTTAAGTCCAAATATTTCATAAGGGCATTCTGCAAGGTCTACGGCAGACTTCACCATGTTTCCCTAGAAAATTGAAATACCCCGAGGCTCCTCTGTGAGTTGACTGGGGCCATGGGGTGCCATGGTACCCAGTTTAGGAATGATGGGCCTAATGAGAAATAATTGTATCTGAGCCATGGCATCTCTGGGGAAGGGATAATACAAGTTGTCTTGCTTATTATGCTCATTGTACAGATTTTAAAAGGGGGGCCCTGGGGTGCTAGGTGGCAAGTCCTGGCCCAGGGCTTGCCCTGGCACTCAGCCTATGGGAGCCTCCCCTGGCTTGGCAGAGGGTGCAGGCCTCTGCCTGTCTCAGCCTCTCTCGGTTGCTGACAGTCGTGCCATGTCCTACCTCCCCTCCACCCAGGGCGTGGCCAGGGCCCGGTGCCTCCCTCCTTTCTTTCAGCTGCCTGAACAGTGGTCACTTTTTCCACTGAGGCCTGTGCTTCCCGGAATGTCGCAAGGAGTTGTTGGGCTAACTCCAGGGGCTGCATAGGATTCTCAGCGCTCCCCCACGCCCTGTCTACAGGGAGGGGAGGGTGAACCAAGTGAGGGCTGGGAGGAAGGTGCACAAGTCTGTCAGGGTTTTCAGCAGAGCTCTGTCTGCTCTGCACCCCAGGGTTCCCCGTTCAGAAGTTCAGTGAGAGGGCTGCATTGCCCAGCACATGTCCGGGGGACTCCAGGGCTCTTGTCACCACGCACCGCAGTGACACCTGAACATATGTGGCCTCTGTCCTCGCTCTCCTAGGCCTGCCACGTGTGGGTTATGCCTGCATTGATGGCCACTTCAGCCATTACATGCGTCACATGTGACATATACATGTATGGGGCCTAATGTTTTCTCCATTCTGAGCCCGTTCCATGGAGGACAGCAGAGCACAGAGATTGTCACTTGTCCATGAAAAGCCCATCCCAAAGCGTGTTAGTGGCCCAGGATGTAGATCCTGCTCAGCTGGCTGATTCTGACCCAGGTCCTCCTCCAGCACTGGTCCCTGGAAGAGTGGCGTGCACATGAGTCTGAGTCAGCCTCCCAGCACTCCTTTCCATGTGTCTCTTGCACCAATACTCTGCAAAGAGTGAGCGGTTGCTAGGGAAGATAGTGCTTCCTACCCTGGCCAGTTTTACTCAGTGGTTAGAGCTTTGGCCCGAAGACTGAAGAGGAGCAGGTTCAGTTCCAGTCAAGGGCATGTACCTCAGTTGCAGACTTGTTCCCTGGCACTGGTTGAGATGAGTGTGGAAATAACCAATTGATGTGTCTCCCTCACACCAATGTTTCTGTTTCTCTGTCTTTCTCTCCCCTCTACCCCCCTCCCCACTCCCTTCCACTCTCTCTAAAGAATCAATGGAAAAAATATCCTCTGGTGAGGATTAACAAAAAAATTTTTTTAATGTGCTTCCTCCTTCCATCTACTCAACACACATTTCCTGAGTGCCTATTTTATGTTGATTTCTCCCCTTGGAGCTAGGGGTAGAGCAGTGAACAAGACAAGCAGGGACCTGACCAGGGAAGCTCACCTTCTAGAGGGGCTTCCGAAGTTCCTCTCACTCCCCTTCCCAACTCCTCTCCCAGAGCCACCCACCCAGCAGCCAAAGCTCCCGGCGAGCTTCTAGTGCTTCTCAGTTGAGAGATTTGAAGGTTTGGGAAAGAGAGTCCAGAGGACCAGGTCCCAATGCTGCACGTACTCACATGCACAAACACCACACCTGTGGTTTGCAGGCTGATCTCTCCTGTTCTCTGTGCAACCACAGCCGGAGGTTCTGAGCTGATTTACAGCATGGCAATGCACGTTGAAGCCAAGCAGACACATCTTTAGGTCTGCTGAAATGTTTACACCTCTCAGGAAGTCCTTTGGCTTATCTGCAAGATGACTTTAATAACAAGCATTGCATTGCTGTGAAGACACCGTCAACAAATGCACTCTGCGGGCCTGACACATTCTTTGGCACGCAGAAGGGGCTTCGTAAGTGACGGGCCATGCCCTTTGTAAGTGCTGCTAAAATAAAGATGCTCGTCTTCTGAAAAGATGAGTGGAACTAGTTGGATCGAACTGTTGGTTCGGTCCTGAAGCCATGGACGATGTAGCACTTAGAGCCTCGGGGACAGTTTCCTGTGTATCCCATTTGCCCCTCGAGTCACCTTCTGAGGAAGGTGGGGAATATGCCCTCATCCCAGTGAGATGGGGAAACTTGGAGGTAGGGAAGTTAAATTGCAATGTCATGTAGGTGGTAAATGTCAAAGTCAGAACTGAATTCTAATTGCTGCTAACTAGCATTAACCTTAGGGATGGTGTCTAACACTAACATAGCACTTCATGTTGTAAGAAGTATTTTACATAAATGATTTTATTAATTCCTACACCAGTTATGACAGTGTACAATCCTACAGTGAGGAAACTGAAGTCAGAGAGGTTAGGTGATTTCCCTAAGGTCACACAGCCGGGAAATAATTCGTGTCAGAATTGGAACCCATGGTTCCTTTCTACGCTGCCATTGAAGAAGAAGAGACACTCTTGGCAGTGTCACTGGCCATCTTTCTAAACCACATGGCAACCACCCTTCTCAGCCAGGTCATTCGCCTGCAATGGCCAGTCTCTCCTCCTGTGACCCAGATCTTAATTTCTCCACAATTTGGTTATACTAGCTAACTAAATACAAAGCTTGTTTACTTTGGGCTAAATTCACATTAAGTCAGGCAATATGGGAACATGGTGATTTTGTGCTGATCAAATAAATTATCAGATTGGGAGATATATTATATGTCTAATTTTTTAAATTTTTTTTTAGTGGTGATACCAATTAGTTTAATAAATGATTTTTAGTGTGCAGAATCTTACAAGTTACTAAGAAATCATGATTTTAAAAAAAGTTCATGTGAAAGGGATGGAAAAATATTAATAGGAAAAGAAAGTGAATTACTGGTTTATTCTCATGTTCTGCCTGACTGGCACAATAAGTATTTTCTTTCTCCTTGCAACCCAACTCTTTGCAGAATAAAATAGAGCCCAAGGAGATGGGGGTGCTGGGGCAACTTTAGTTCCCAAATAGAGATATACAGATAAGAAAAAAATCCATAGACATCTAAGTTTGCGTTTTCTCCACCATTTTGGTTTAGCCTAGCTCTTCATTGCTCACCTCTCCTCACAGACCACGTTAGTGTCCCGTGGGTCAGGCTGAAGCAGAGGAGCTATGCCTGCCCCACACACTTTCCCTGAAGGAACTGGGGTCTTCTTAGGTCCTGTTACTGCCCACACTTCCCTCAGACGTGCTTTCTGTGGGCCCGCAGCTAACTCTGGGTTTGGACCTAGACAGGCTCTGGTACAGTCACACCCACGGCTGTTGAATGCAAAAGAGAGAATAACATGTGTTATTCTTTGAAGGAAAAGCCAAGTCCTCATTTAAGGTGGAAAAAAAATAAACAAACAAAACAAAACAAAAAACAATAGAAAAGCCAAAGATGGTTACCGCGTGTTCCTGCTGGTGGGCAGGACATCTTGTGCTTCCACAGGCTGCAGTCCCAGGCCGGCGAGGCATTCACGGGCTGTGGAGCTGGGGCCAGAGAGCCTGTGTCTCTAAGACCCAGCGCTGTTGCAAATAGGTCATCTGTTTCTCTTGGTGTTTGCCCAAGCGTTGGGCCTGAAATAATTTCCATTCACAGAATAATGATTTATTGGGAGCTGGGGAGAATGTGGGAGGGACGGCAGGGCCCTTTGATCTGTTGGAGGTTTTGTTTGGGTTTTTTTTGTTTGTTTGTTTGTTTTTTTGATGCCTGGGTCAACTTTTTAAACAAATATTAATGACTAAGCTCTGGTTGATCTCATCTTTGAAAATATTGAAGATCCTGGTAAATATGGGGAGGGGGGAGGGGTAAGGGGGTGTAAGAGCACGGGAAGCAGGTGCTTTCTGTTGGAAGCCAGTGAGCACACAGCAGACCGTGCTGGGGACTGCAGTGGGTGGTATTATTGCTGTTGCTATTGTGTGGTATGTTAGCATTTATTATAATAACAACCAAAACTTTTAGTGTTGTTCTGGAACAACCAGGGGGTGAAAGAATCCTCCTGTGATGGGGCAAGTTTAGGATGTGTAGGGCTGACAAGGCGGCACCCCTGGGTTGGAGGGGAGCGAGTGGCCAGCCGCCCTAGCTGCTGCCTCCGAAGTGGAACAAAGGCCGGGATTTGATTTGGGCCTGCTCTGGCGGGCCCTCTGAGGGCCAGGAGGCTCCCTGCGGGTGGGAGGCATAGTCATGGGGTGATTACGTGGTCCTCAAGGGGCTGGCCATTTGGAGAAGGCCCCAGCTAGAGACTGTGGTAGAGAGGTTTAACTTCATTGTCAAGAATGGACTTACCCTGCCGTGTGCAGGAGAAGTACTAAGTCAGCCCTCACACCCAGCCCAGCCCATAGCATCAGCACAGCCTGTACGGATCCACTCGTTCCTTTGAGACTCAAGCCCGACAGCAGGTGCCGGTGTGGTCCTCACAGAGGTGATGTGATGGGCTCGGGAGAGCATACTTCTCTGGTGTAAATGTCCAGAGTCGGGCAGCAGAAAGTACGCTGTAAAAGGCTGTTGGTAGGGCAACCACGTAATGGATTGTCTAAACCAGGATGCTTTGGAAGGTGAAAGGAGGCACTGTAACGATGCCAGGGACAAAGAGCGACGAATCACACGGTCCTGGGCACCCTGGCTGTATACTCGCCGTAGGGTTCAGACACAGTCTGGTGCTCCTGTGAAGTGAAGCTACCTCGCACTGGTAGCTGGGGTGGTGGCCGAGTGGACGCCACTTTCCTGGGCAGCTGCTCTGAGTCCCACGAATCCTGCCCGAGAGATGAGCCAGCGTCACCCCCTTGTCAGAGGTGGTCTCATAGGCAGCACCTGAGGGGCTTCAGCAGCCCTGGAGGCCACGGCCTGGGGCCGAGGTCGCGTTCACAGCGAGAAGGGTCCTTGCCCTGTCACAGGGAGTCTGTGCTGTGCGATGTTTCAGCTGGGCTTGGGGATGTGATTCCCAGGTGGAGTGAGGCGCCATCCCGTCCCCTGTGGCTGAACGGAGCTCTGTGTAGCCTTAGTCCGGGTGCAAGGGAGGGCGTGTCCGTCTGTCTCCTGGGCAGGCAGGGCTGCGGGCCCAGTGCTGGCCCAGGGCTGTCGGTGGATCCTCGGTTCGTGATGGTCCTGGGCTCACGGTGCTGTCTTGGCCTTTGCAGGTGGACAACCAAACGGAGGAGAATAACGACATGAACAAACGGAGGCGGAGAGGCTTCAACAGCCTGCACGAGGTTCGTGTGCACAGCGTCGGTTTCAACAGAGGCTGGCCACAGGCTCGGCCGCCTCGGCCCTCCTTGCTCTCCTCTCTCTGGAGCTGCTCAGTCCCAAGCTTGACTGGGTGGAAAGACAGTCGGTTCTGGTCCTCGCTCCACTACTTACCAGCGATGTGACCTTGAGAAACAGAGCCTGCCAGGGGGGAGCTCACGTCTGTAAACTACAAATGATACATTGGAAACGCGTGAAACCTGGCAGGGTTTTCAAAGATCATATAAGATGCTATGACCTATGGCACCTATGCTGATAAATAGGTAATCACTATCAATAGTGAGCAGTGAGGAGGCACCAGCTGTCCCGCTTTTCTCCCAATCCTTGTTTCTACCTTTCCTGTTCTCTGCACATTGTCTTTAAGGCCAATGTCCCAGTGCCCGCAAGTGCCACCTTCTGGTGACAGGAGAAAATTACTTTGTCAAAACCAGGCACGAATCTCTCTCCTGCTACTGAAAAATTGATCAGCAGAAAAAGAGGGTATCGGTTCCACTTCCCCAGGCAGCTCTTTAAAGAGACCTGAGAGATGCCTTCATTGGAATAGGCCGTTCTAGTCCCACCAAAGCAAGCCCAGGTGTTGTCAGTGAACGGCGGGAGGCCGGCTCTAGCTAGCCTGATGCCTGACGCCACGATTATGACACAGAGGCACGTGGGGTTGTTTGTATAGTACAGTGATCGGCAAACTCATTAGTCAACAGAGCCAAATATCAACAGTACAACAATTGAAATTTCTTCTGAGAGCCAAATTTTTTAAACTTAAACTATATAAGTAGGTACTTAATTACTATTAACTTAATTAGGGTACATGGTATTTTGTGGAAGAGCCATACTCAAGGGACCAAAGAGCCGCATGTGGCTTGTGAGCCGCGGTTTGCCGACCACCGTTATAGTATAGTATACCTGAGTTATAGGACTTAGAAAAGACTCCCATCTTAAATGTATATTTTTATGACATTGTCTTCATGTCTGTGACTTGCTTCATGTGGAAGCCTTGACCGGGATCAGCACGCTGGTCCTCACAGCTGAACTTTGTAACGAATAGAGCCACCAAGCCCGCATGGGAAAGAGGGAGCTGCCTATTGCTCAGCCCATTTTCTGGGATGCTCCAAGGGAAGTGCTGATAAAGCCTGCAGTTCCATTTGTGTCTTAAAATGTGCTCACACTCATATTACCCACTGAGTCCAAATTGCCCTGTCTGAACCACTAGAACTTCTTTGGGAGAATCCCTTCAAGAATTACTGCTGTGAGCCAGAAGCCAGCGAACTGGGAGATGATTGAGAGGAGGAAGCGGAGGCAGAGTGACAGGCAGAAGAGATGTCCTTTTTCCCGGTTAAGGGGTTGGCTCTCACCTGTGTGCCTGGGATTTGCTCTGGCCTCCCCCTTAGAAGCGTCCCTTACATGCACTTTGTCTCAGGGAGATGCCTGCTCCTGCCTCTCACTGGGCCTTATGTGAGGGGCTGTTTGTGCTCTTTCTGTTGACGGCAGCTCAGGAGGGGAGTGTGGAAAGAAATCTGTCGCACCTGTCCCTTCTGAGATGGCTCTGGGCTGTTTTCCAGGCCAGCTTTCTTTGCTTCCAAGTCAAATTGAACCAAATCATAATTCTTTCTCAATTCTCACTACTGTAAGTGTGGGCCTAGACCCGGCAGCATCAGCATCACCTGGCGGCTGGTTAAAAATTCGGAGTCTCAGGGCCCACCCTGGACCCACAGAGCCCAAATCTGCTTTTGAAGGAGCCCCTGATGATTCATGTCTGGGAAGTGCTGTCTGCACGACCCACCATCCCAGCAACTTTGGCCTTGTGCAAACAGTGACCTCCTGTTAACCCGCCCTCCTTGCCCTCCAGGCTGGGTTGCTGTGCAGTCACACTTCCCACTTTGAAGTGGGGAGTGACTCCGGTTGCTGTTTGTCCAGCACTTCAGGGTGGCTGCACAGACAAGGTTTCCCACGGGGCTGCAGCTCTTAGGGAATCTGTTAAAAAAACAACCGACTGCAGCTTGCTGCTTCCCCGGAATGTCTTTATTGTCCTGAGAATGTCTGTCCCAGAGATTTGTTGTCTTCTGGGAAAGCAGACTGCCCACTGGACACAACAGGGCCATTTTCACCCAGAGGCCTGTGGGAGCAGATCCTATGGAAAGGGGAGATGAACATTCCGTGAAGACTGGTACTTTTCCAGGCTTTATTTGTAGCAGATGAGCTAAAGAAACCTTACATGGAACTCCATATATATATATATATATATATATATATATATATATATATATATATAATGTGTGTGTGTGTGTGTGTATAAATAATTGATTTCAGAGAGGGAGGGAGAGAGAAACATCAATGATGAGAGAGGATCTCTGATCAGCTGCCTCCTGCAAGACCCCCCACTGAGGATCAAGCCTGAAACCTGGGCATGTGCCTTGACCAGGAATTGAACTATAACCTCCTGTTGTACTGGAACTCCATTTTATAAAATAGCATCATCAAAAGATCACAGCCAACGCCTCACCCGTCCTTAGTCACGTGGATATCATGTACCTGGTACAAAGCACCAAGAGGAGCCCTTCACCCCGTGGCATCCTTCTCCAAAATGCAGAACCCGGTCTGACCACGAGAAAAGATCAGAGCACCCCTGATTAAGGGACTTTGTACACGAGAGCTGACCCATCCCCTTCGAAACTGTCAAAGTCCTAGAAGACAAAGACAGATGGAGAAACTGTACAGATGGGAGGAACTAAGGAGAAATCATGACTTAATTCAGTGTAGGATCCTGGATTGTATCCTGGAACCAAACAAGGAAGCATGTGGGAAAACTGGCGTAGTTTAAATCGAGTCTGTAGTTCGTGGTATCACCCTGGGGTGACAGTATCAGGATTGCTCCTTATATTACCATTATGAGCAGCTGGGTGGAGGCTATGCAGGAACTGGCTGTGCTGTCTTTGTAGTTTCTCCATAAATCCAAAATTATTTCACAATTAAACGTTGTTTTTAAATGGTAGCCCCAAGAGAGCGTGGCAGCTTGGAGTTGGGATTGAAATGGCAAGGAGGAAGGAGGAAGATGTCCAAAGCCTGTGCCTCAAGGACATCCTCTTGCTCCCTTCACACACACACACACACACACACACCCTACTATTCACCTCTTGGGAGCCACAGGATGTATTTTGAAAATGATTTTGCTCACCGCTTCATTATTATATTTGATTTTTTTTGTGTGTGTGAGTGTTGCAACCATGTGAAATGTGTTACGCTCCCATTCTACAGATGCAGAAACTTTAGGGAAGTTTATTGCCAAGGCCACTGGGCTGGGAAGAGAAAGAGTCAGGATGCAAACCCTAACTCTCAGGCACCCAAGCCTGGCTATGCCCGTCTTTGGGCATTGCCTGCGGCTTGTGCCTCACTTCCTGAGACCATGGAGGTCTCCTTCTTCAGGAAATGAGTCCCCTGTCCTCAGCCCCCAGGCCCCCTCCCTGATATCTGGGTTCTGGGACACAACCACCAACGCACTGATTTGGACTTTGCAGCGGTCAGCCTTTTCCAGCCGGAGTTTGGGCTCCAGTCAAGAGGGCGGTGTCAGTAAAGAAGGTGGAAATCAGAACAAAGTCAAGTCCATGGCAAGTCAGCTGCTGGCCAAGTTCGAGGAGAGCTCTCGGAACCCTTCACTCCTGAAGCAGGTGAGTCCCATCACATGCTCACATGCAGCCTTCTTGGTGACCAGAACTGAGAAGCCAGCAGAAATGTTCTGGCTAGTGATGGATTTCAGGTATGCCAGCCACACCTTGCTCAAGCAAGCCTTCTTCCAGACCTGGGGTCAGCAGAATTTTCTAAAAGGGGCCAGGTAGCCAATACTTTAGACTTCAGGAGCCATCTGATCTCTCTTCAGCTACTCAACTCTGCCATTGTTGCAGGAAAGCAGCCGTAGACAATTCCTAAACCAATGTGTATGCAAGTGTTCCAATAAAACTTTATTTACAAAACAGGCTGCAGGCTCAATTGCCTGTTCTGCGTTAGAGAAGAACCCTTTCCCTACTTTGGCTTTACTTTGCAACCATGACTTGGTTTGCTGCTATCTATGAGATGTGCAGCGGGAGGAAGCTTTAGAGTGTTGACTGCCTGGAAGAGCACCAAGTCCTTGTTGAGAAGACCCACCCAACAAGGGGAAACTGGGTCAGGGGTCTTAGCTTACTGTGGGCCTGCAGCAATGGAGAGCAACTTCCCCAGTGTTGTGGTGCCTCTCTCTCTTCCCTCGGGTCAGGTTGGCAGGGCTGAGTGTCTGACCAGGGTGAAGGTGAGGCTGACGGCGGGCAAAGCTGAGGTCAGGCATCAGGCAGAGCTGACCTCTCCTGGACTCTGGCTTGGGGTCTGCATTGCATGGCTCAGTTGGCTCCCCTGAAGGCTTCTGGGATGCCACTGCCACATTACCAAAGCCTGGGGCAAGGGGGCTGATCTTTCTTTGGACAACACCTGTCCCGTGACAGATGAGGCTCCTCTCAGGAGGAGGGCAGACTCTAGGTTAATTCGGTTTTTAGGTGATCACAGAGGTCCCCTTGGTCTTGAGGTGGACCGTGCTCCTCCAGACAAACGGACCTTTCCAGGAAGCCAGGCTTTCATATAAGGGGGTCATTTTCTGAGACTTCTACTCTGACGTTTTGTCTCACTTGCCCCTCTGGAGGCTGGTCCCTTGCAGCCCTGAGTGTTGCTAGAGCTTCTCCCATCAGCTCCTGTCCCCTGGTAGGCCGGAAGCTCTTCCATTTCCAGCAGACTCGGGGGCCGGCCACCCTGGCCAGGCATGGGCTCTGGCAGGGCCTGTCCAGTGTCCAGGTCTGAGCCAACAGCAAGGCCTCCCTGAATACACACTTTGTCCCCGAGGAGGGGACTCCGGGCCTTGCTGTCCGCCTGGACAGAGAGCCAGGGCTCAGGTTTCCTGGCAGGAGCCTGGCCAGAGCTCAGCCCATGGCACACTTGCTCTCTCTGCACCTGAAAACTCTCGCTCCCCACCTCCCTTCCTCTCCTCCTCCCTCTCAGTCTGACTCAGCCTTTTCCTTCGTGTTTCCTGCGGCTGCTATTTTGGACTTCCCGTCCTCCTCCCAGGAACGCCATGTCTCGGGGACAGGTAAGCCTGTCCTTCGCTCGTCCTCTGACCCTCCTGTTCACTCTCGCTGTCTCCAGCCAGAAGATCTCACCGCCAGCCCGCCGCCTCCTCTGAAAAGGCAGGTAGGGCTCCTCCCACTGGACGGGGTCTTGGTGGAGTCAGAGGGGACTCTGATGCAGAGGGGTGGGCTCAGTCAGCCTCTGCACACCCGAGTAGGGCTGATCGTAGGTTCTCTGGGGAGGCAGACACAGCATGCTGTCCTTCCATACATGCCATTGGTCCTGGGTATCTGCTGTGCTTCTCTCTGGTGGTCTGTTTGCTTGGGGACACAGTCTGCACCACACAGTCTGCGGCCTATTTTGTCAGATGCCCCCGGAACACAGCTTTAGCTGCAGACCACTTACCTAGGCTGATGTGAAAAGGGATGAGGAAGTAGCAGTGATGGCGGAGTGGGTGTAGGTGGCCCGTTTGGCTGCCCGCCTTGAAGGGGGAAGGCTGGGGTGGGGCGCAGTCCCCCTGGCGCCCTAGTAGACGAGCACCTCGCAGGTGCAGCGGCAGCATGCGCTGTGGCTTTCCCTAGCCGGCATCTCTGGGTTGGGAATGTGCACAGACTCACTGTTTTGACCATAGCATACAGAGACGGCTGGACAGCATGAGACATGTGTGTTGCTTCTGGGCAGTGGAGTTGAATGAGGTCAGTGTGGGCATGAAGCAGAGATGTTGTCTTAGTGTATAATAATTATCTAATGGACATTTGTTTTTCTTCAATTAAAAAAAAAATGGAGTACTTAAAAAATACCAGTCTCTGGTGCCCATCCCAAGACCAATTCAACGAGAACCTCCGGAAGTCAGACCCGTTCTTGGGTATTTTGTTAAAGGGCCCTGGTGGCTGCAGTGTGTGTCTAGGGTTGAGAATATGGGTTGTACTGGTTTTGATTCGGTGGGTCTGGAAGGAGGCTCAACAGTTACGTTAAGGAGGATGTTAGATTTATATAATGTTATTAGCCAGAATAAATTAAAAAGGAAATGTAAGAGAGAGAGAGAAAGGAAGGAAGGAAAGAAGGAAGGAAGGAAGGAAGGAAGGAAGGAAGGAAGGAAGGAAGGAAGGAAGGAAGGAAGGAAGAAAGAAAGAAAGAAAGAAAGAAAGAAAGAAAGAAAGAAAGAAAGAAAGAAAGAAAGAAAGAAAGAAAAGGAGATATCAGGTGATCCTGGTGCAGATGGTAGACCATCAATCAGCGCCTGAGGTTAGTTTGGAATCTTACTCAAAGTGACACCTGGTGTGCCCTGGGCCCCTGGTCCTCCTGGGATCCTCATGTTGGGGATCCTCATGTTGTGGGGGAGGGGGTGCAATGCAAGGGCCCTAGTAGGGAAGGAAGCTTGATTTGTCTTCTCTCCAGTTCCCCTCCGTGGTTGTGACGGGGCATGTGCTCCGAGAGATAAATCAAGTGCCTGCTGGCGGAGAGTGCCCGAGCCGGCCCCGCAGAGCCCGAGCCCAGTCTGACCTGCAGCTGGGGGGGCGCGAAGAAATCCCTGCCTGCCAGGGGGCGCTGGCCCTGTCGGGGGTGCTGCGGCGGCTGCAGCTAGTGGAGGAGAAGATTCTCCAGGTGAAAGCCTCACCCTGCGCCCTGCCTCTGCCGGGGTCAGAGAGGGGTGCCTTCCATTCCCCTTCCTCCTCCGCCTGCCCAGGGTGGGTTTCTTCTCTCACTGTTCATGCCCTGTCCCCCATCCTGTGTGTGGGGAGTGAGACAAGCCTGCCTAACTGCCCTCCACACCCCACCACCCCTGTCTCTGTCACTCTCTCTTTTTCTTTCTCCTTTCTCACTTTGGCTGCAGAAGAGGGCTCAGAACTTGGCCAACAGGGAATTTCACAAAAAGAACATTAAGGAGAAGGCGGCTCACCTGGCCTCCATGTTTGGACATGGGGATTTCCCTCAGGTAAATGGGGTCTCCCAGCCCCAGGAGCCCGGACATCGGACAGCCCGTGAGGCGGTCATGACTCAGTCTCTGGAGCTCCCGTTTCCTCCTTCCCAGTGCTTTTATAGCATGAGGCACGGTCCGTTTGTCCAGCCACTGAAGAATTCAAGGCGCTGTCTAAAAAAGATGCAAATAAGAACGCTTAAAATAAGTAGATAAGTCGGGACAAAGGGAAAACCAAGGAAAGAAGTGAAGAGCTCACTCAGGTCAAAGGTAAATGTTACTGAACAGGAACACGGGCTGTTAGAATAGGCTCTGAGCTTCCTAAGAGCCAGCACAAAGGAAAACTGGTCAGTTGCAAGAATTACATGACAGCACCTCTAAGGTGTAAACAGCCCAGTTGTTCATGATGTTTGGGGGCCTGACGGAGACTCTCCCCTTGGCCTTAATCAGGGAAACACGGCGAAAGCGGTCAGCCCCATGCTATAACCTGCACTCCGCTTTCCCAAAAGGCAGCACAGGGCCAAGAATAATGGCTTTGCCTTAAAACAGTGGTCGGCAAACTCACTAGTCAGCAGTACAACAATTGAAATTTATTTTGAGTTTTAAATTTTTAAAACTTAAACTTCTTCTAATGCCACTTCTTCAAAATAGACTCTCCCAGGCCATGGTATTTTATGGAAGAGCCAAACTCAAGGGGCCAAAGAGCCGAATGTGGCTCAAGAGCTGCAGTTTGCCGACCATAGCCTTAGAATACAAAGCCTGCCCCCTCCCTACCCCCCCGCCCCCCATGAGCCAGGTGCTTATTTAGAAACTTGCAGAAAAGAAGAGTGTGTGCAGGCAAAAGGACAAAAGAATTGATAGGAGGTCCCACAGCACCTATATGCATGAGACGTTCTTTTGCAATAAACCTGGTCTCTAGAACATTCCTCCCGGGGCCTCTCACTCGGCCTCCTCTAGAGTCACTGACATGGGAAGGAGGCTTTGCATTTATTTAGCTCATTTTTAGGTGGCGCAGGTGCCTGCAGCTGCAGAGGCTATCTGCCCCGGAGTAGCCCAGGCTTCTCCTTTGCTAAACTTGCACCTACCACTTTCTACCAGACCCCAGAGTGAGGGACTCGGGACATGGCTGGTATCTGTGGCACACACAGGTAGGAACAGGGTGCACCTGCTCCAGCTGTTACAGTGTGACAAGGGAGTTGGAGCAGAAAATGGAGCCAGCAGCCAGACAGCCCTGCTGGGCTCCAGTGGCAGAGGCCTCTGCTTGGTCCGAAGAGGCGGGCCTGGATGCGCCTTCCCCTCCTGGCATGCGTAGGCAGGGGCTGCCCCCTGGCGAGCATGCTGTGCCTGGCCGGGGATAACCACTCTCCTCTGTTTCTGTTCTGTGCAGAATAAGCTCCTCTCTAAAGACCTGTCTCATACTCAGCCTCCGTCTTCTCCCTCCTGCCTTCCATCTCCTGACCCAGCAGCTGCCGCTTCCTCTCCGTCGGCTGTTGACTCTGTTTCTCCTGCCAGAAAGGTAGTTGTCCCGAACCATCAGCTCCCTCCACTCCCTGCATGTTCTGAGACGCCCCGCTCTGCTCGGCCTGCACAGCCAGCTGAGCTGGGCCTGGCAGATGGAAATCTATAAGATACTTCCCAATGGGCCCGGATTTGGTTCTGGTTTTGGGTTGGATCTGGCAACATCACAGAATCAGGCAGCACTCAAAAACTCATCTAACACCGCTCATTCGTCCAGCAAGCTTTAGTTAGACACACCGTATGCCAGCCACTGTGCCAGGTGCTGAGGAGAGAAATAGGAGGTTTCTCTTACTACAGTCTAGATGGCACACAGCACATCATCCTAGACATAAGGAACTTTTTACCATATGAAATTGCTGCTATTTGGCTATTTCTGACCTAACAAAATGGCAGTTTCATGTGGCGAACCTAATATAACACTACACATGAATTCTAGGAGAGGCATAAAGGGCAAGGTTGTAGGAACTCCGAGGGGAGAGGCCTGAAAGGATTCACAGGAGGGGGGGTAGGTGCTGAATGGTGGAGGTTATAAGGAGGATTTGCTGAGAAAGGTGGAGGGGGAGAGTATTTTATTTTATTTATTTATTTTTATTAGTATTTAATGTATTTTTATTTTGAATACAAATAAAATTATTAAGTGCAGATAGACTGAGTAACAATGAAGGAGGCTATAGAAAATAAATTGAAATATCAATGATAATATTATGTTTATATTTTGTTCATTTGTTCACTTTATATACATCTTCGATTATTATTGTTTGCCAGGCATCTACTTTTTTTTTTTTTTTTATCAAGAAATAAGCAGAGAAAATATCATTTTAGACCTTTTAGGGACATCAGAGAACATAGAAGAGTTCAGAAACGAATAATAGTTTAATATATCAGAAATATTCATTGCTTTATTCATTCAACAATATATCTTGTAGAAAAGTGAAGGAAGCCAGAATGGTAAGCAGAAGGCAACACACACTTCCTTTCTTTTTAACATTTTCCTTCTATAGATACCGGAATCAAACCTGAGACCTTTCAGTCCGCAGGGGGAGAGTATTTTAGAAAGGACCTGGCATGTGCAAAGGCAGGCAGACAGGACTGCAGGGGTGGAGGGTCAGAATTCTGGTGAGACTTGAACTTGGGGATGAAAGTATTCATGGGGTGCAGAGAGTGAGGATGAAAGCGAGCCCACTCTTCTCGTGTTAAGGAATGCCTTTGGTTCCTCTTCCCATGAGCAAGTGAAGGCTCTTCTCGTGTTCTAGAAGGGTGACGTGGAGAGCTTTGCGGAGGTTGGCTTGGAGGGAAGGAGGAGGAAGGAGGTGGGGAGCTGCCTCTGTTTAAACTGATCATGAAATGCACCGTGAGCAACTGTTACATGTGGGCTCTGGGCACTTTGCATGTTTCCCCTTGTCCTCCTGATACCAATATGCTAAGAACATCCCCAGGCTGGGAGGGAGAGGGGCAGCCTCCGGAGAAGCATGGCCGTGGGATGGATGAGCCTGGAAACGGATGTGAGGTCACGTCTTTAGCCGTAGCACGTGGCAGTGGCTTTGGAGTCTCTTCCGCACAGACTGTGCTCCTTTGCACACATCCAGTCTGTCCAGCGGCCGCCTGTGCTGAGCTCGGCCAGTGGGGCTGAATGTCCCCCATCAGAGTGACTACTCATTTGCCACTGAGCTGTTAGCTGATGCACAGACCAGCTCCCTGCCGCTGCGTTAGTGGGAAATTAGGAATTACCTCCTGGTGTGTAGCTGGGGACTAGACCCCCTTTTACCCCAGCACTGTGGGAAGAAGGGTATAGATACCATCTCTAAGAAAGAAGCAAGCAAGGAATCTTATCAGCCCCCACCCCCCCTACCTTTTCCAAGGTCACCATCATGGTGTGACAAATCCCTGGAATGGAGAAACACATTTTCTGTCTTCAAGTCCACTGGACATAGCTAAGGCTGCCTAGCCGGTATGGCTCAGTGGTTGAGCATCATCCTATGAACTAAGAAATCACAATTCAATTCCCAGTCAGAACCCATGCTGGGGTTGTGGGCTTGATCCCCAGTGTGGAGGAGGCAGACGATCAATGATTCTTATAATTGACTAGAGGCCCAATGCATGACATTGGTGCACTGGAGGGGGGTGTGGGCCCCTCAGCCCAGTCTGTGTCTCCTCTTGTAGTCCAGGACCCCTCGGGGGATATCCGACTGCCAGCTTAGGCCCGCTCCCCAGCCACGAGCCTGGCTTGTGGCTGAGCGGCGCTACCCCTTTGGGAGCACACTGGCTATCAAGGGACTGCTCCTGCGTTGAGCATCTGCCCCATGGTGGTCAGTGCACCTCATAGTGACTGGTCATTCTGCTGTTCGGACAATTTGCATATTGAGGTTTTATTTATATAGGATATTTCTATCTCTCACTCTCCCTTCTTCTCTTATATCAATAAAAATATATTTACAAAAAGAAGGAGAAGAAAATAGCCAAGGCTGAGATGCCCACGTCTTGTCCCAGGTCAGCTTTTGATCAGTCTCCTCACCTGTCTGGCCTCCATTCTCTCATGTACAAGGGCATGATTCCTGGCTCATGTGATGGTGAGCTGTATGGGTGGAGACTGGCATTTCTGCCATCAGCCTCACAAAAAGCACTCCTCACGGAAGGGCAAAAAGGCTACTCTGAAGTGAGGAGTGCTTCCTGCTGTGGAAAAAGGTGAGGGCACTTGAGCATAGACAGACAGTAGCTCATGCTCGGGGCTAAGCCATCAGCCCACGCCTTGCTAGTTTCTGGCCAGCCCCTCTCTGGCTGGTCCTGGTCAAGGCCCTCTCTTGCCTCTGCTTTTCTTTTGACCTCAGGATGGCCTGGCTTGCTCACTGCCCTGTCGGGGCTGAGGACAGAGCCACCACACTTCCCCACTTTCCCTGACGTGGTTTCTGTAGGTATTAATTCCCTAGGTGATGGCAAAAGGCAGCTGCCTGGGTGCATGTGGGGCATCTGGTGTGACAGATGCTTCTTGTCAGCGGGATTGTCTCCTGTCACAGCTTCACAGGAGGCCCTGGCCACCGCTTCCCCAATGGCTCTTCAAACAGCATCACACCGAGGGCACTCAGTGAGTCAATGAGGAAGCGTTCACTCATTAGATAAATATTTGTTGAGTGACAGCTTGATGTCAGCATCTCAGGTTCTTGAGATGTGCATCAGTGAGCAGGAGTTATGTCCCTGCCCTGATGGGACTTGCCTCCTAGTAGGAGGGATAACCAACAGCTATATGATACAGAAGTAAGTTATGCCATATGTCAGAAGATAAGATGATACTTCCTATGGAAAATTAGCAGATAGCAGGGGCTTGGCATGCAAGGGGAGGGTAGCAATTTTAATCGGGTAACAGGAGGTCCTTCCTGGGAAAGTGAGAACCGAGCAGAAGCCACAGAACAGAAAATGGGGAGGAGACGAGTGCCCAGGGGTCCTAGTGCTAATGGAGGGAGGGCTGCAGATGGGGTGGGCTTTGGGATGGCCAACCCCAGGCCCCTGGCTACCACCTCTAGAGCTTTTCTTCTTTGTTCCTTGTTTCTCTCCGATTTTTCTTTTTTCTTATCCCATCTCCTAAGCCAACCTTAGCCATCAAATGATGGTGTAGCTGGGCTGTCTTAATAGCATCCACCGTGTGTGCCTTTCACAGAAGTGTGGCTGGGAATGATGGGGGGGCTCTCGGAAAGGGCCAGGGCAAGTCACTTACCCTCTCTGTGCTTTCGTTTCTCCATTTGCGAAAAGCACCCAGGTTGTACCTGATGCTCACGGAGCCTCCAGGGCTCACTGTGAAGCCATTGTAAGCACTAAGGAGAGAATGTTGCCAGCTGTATGGTCACCCCGCCCCCCCCCCCCAACTTCCCTCCCTCTCTTACCACACCCCACCATTGACTCTGCAGTGGGCTGTGCACATGCAGAATCCATCAGAGTGAGGTCTCCCCATAGACGAGATGCCTACCCCTTACATTCAGCTGGTGGGGCTCAGGGAGTCTCCCTCCTGAGAGCCTCCTGCTTCTTCCAACAGATTGTGGGCTTCTCTCGTGGCCCAGTGACCCGAGTCTCCCTCTGTACAGGAGAGCTGGGTTAAGGGAAGTGCACTTGGGAACTGATGCTAGTCTGTGGCCACTCAGGGCTGCCTGTCCCTGTTCCCATCCTAGCGCCCCCACACTGCAACTTTGCGGATCCAGGATAATCACCTCCTCATGGGAGCAGACGTAGCTGGACTGGCCATCAGGAGCACAAGTTACTCACGGGGACAGAAACCTGGGCCACCGACTGCCTTCAGACTACACAAACCCACCCTCTCAGGCGGATGTTCTGCCTTAAATTTCAGAGTGATACTGCTGGTTTTTGTTTGTTTGTTTAGTTTTGACCTGAACAGTTTCAGAGAATCTTGAGGCCTTCCCATTTAGGGCCCAGATTCTTACCCCAGAGTCTTGTCTTTCTAGACCTTAGACCAGTGGTCGGCAAACTACGCGATCCACATGCGGCTCTTTGGCCCCTTGAGTGTGGCTCTTTCACAAAATACCATGTGCGGGCGTGCCCGTACAGTGTGATTGAAACTTTGTGGCCCGTGCACAGAAGTTCGTTTTCGACTCTCGAAAGAAATTTCGATCGTTGTACTGTTGATATTTGTCTCCGTTGACTAATGAGTTTGCCGACCACTGCCTTAGACTATGGAATCACATCCAGTCTTATGTCCTCAGCACCGCCAGACTCATCCATCCCATCAAACCAGCCCACCTGCAGCGTGTCAGCCCCCCTCACCTGTTAGTTGACTTCTTCATTTAAGAAGGGTGGCCACTGCCCCTCTGGCTTCTGCCCGGCTGCTAGCCATGTGCCCTCTGCTGAGCTATTGTTAAGAACAACGTAGAGGCTGAGGGTTTGCACAGCTGATCAAGAGGGACGGCCTCATGGGGCTGGGCACTGTGGGTAGTCCTCCCGGGTCTGAGAGCAGTGTGCATTGCAAAGGGAGTTTTCTCTCCCCTCCTGGGTGTTTGCTTTAAAACTGGATTTGCAGGGTTTACTCTAGAGCTTTGCATGTTTGCAGGAAGCTGGGCAGTCGCAGGCCGCAATCTGCTTTGGTCTCATCTGACACAGGATAGATCTCAAGGTTGCCTCCAACCTCACCGTCCTCCTCTCTGTCCCAGAGATAAGCTAGGCAGCTCATTGGATGTATCCTACGTGCAACCCCGCCGGGGCGGTTCCCCTGTGCAGAGTGCTGGCGGCAGGGAGGCAGGCTGCTGTAGGGAGAAGGCTATGGGCTTGGCGTCAGAGCACCGATTGCTGCGTGACGTGGGGCAAGTCGGTGGGCCGCTCAGCCCTTAGTTTCCCAACCTGTAGACCGGAGATGACAGCGGCTACTCCTCAGGGTGATTGGAATAAGGCAGTGACCTCACGTGGTAAAAATGCCTAAAGCAAGCCCTGAATGTGCTGGCTGTTTTCCCAGTGGAGGAGAATTCTAGAAGAAAGCGCGTTCACCTAAAATGCAAGTTGAGTCCTCTCTTTCCGAAGACAAAGAACGCACCTGCACGTTTCCGTTTTCATCCTGGCCACTTGGGAGCAGTGCGGCCGCAGGGAGTTAGGGGCTCCCAGAGCCACAGCTGCCCGTGGCAGTAAGACCCACCCACAGGCCATGAGGGTTAGATGCATATGCTGAAGAGCACAGCGCCGGGCACCAGAGTCAAAGGCACAGATATGGGCTCCCACTCAGGGGGGTGCTGTCATAGCCCCAAAGGCCTGCCTGTGTCTCAGCTCTGAGCATGTAATATCCAGACCCCTTCAGGAAAGGGGGTCTCACCATGCCCTCCCTTCCCCTGGCATGTGGCTGAGGACTCGGCCCACTAGCTTGTTCCCTGCTGCTTCCCAGGCAGGGACTCCTCAGTGAGGATCATCCTTGCCCAGCAGGCCCAGGAGAGGTCCTTGGGCCCTGCCTGTGGAAACCTCCCCCTCTGGTGTCTCTTCCACCCCCACCTCACCCCCCGCTCCAAGGCCCTGGGAGCTTCCCTCTCACCCAGCCTGACCCCTGTGGGCTTTACGAGGCTCCCAGCAGGCCTGGTGGCCACAGGTGGCCCAGCTCTGGGGAGAAGCACAGCCTGGACACCTGGTATTCTTGGCTGAGTTCTAGGTCCAAGGGAGCAGGGCGGGGGTGTGGGGGTGGACATGACCATTGTTTGGAGACAAAAGGGCCTGGGAGCCTGCTTCCTCCTTCATTCAGCGCATCTGCTCTGTGCTAGGGGTGGAGAGGTGACTAAGACAGGGTCACGATGTCAGGGAATGCAAACCAGAGAGGAGAGAGGCCGGCTCGGAGCAGGGCGAGAAAGGCTCCAGCAGCCAGGCAGAGGCCATCCTATTCCGAGCCGGGAGTAATGGGATTGCTTTAGGAATGTCTCCTTGTGGAGATCTAGTCATCGTCCGCAGCCTCTGGCGATGGAGCTTGTGGCAGTAATTACATCCCCGTTAGAATCTGCTGAGAAAAGCCAGCCGCTCGTCCTTGGTGAGCCTCGTTGTTCTTAGCGTGCAGAGCCCAGTGAGGGCCGTCTACAGAGGAGAAAGGTCCCAGAACACAGACCTGTGAAGCTGCACAGACAGTGATGCTTTGGACTCACTAACTTGGCAGATGCCTAGTGTTCTTGGAGGCTCAGTGCCATAGGAGGCCCAGCGCTGTCACCGAGTGAGAAGTGAATGCAACTGGGAGGAAGGGGCCTTCCTGGCCAGGTCTGGTCTTCACCCTGACATCCCCTGGCAAGGGGACTGTACAGTGCCCTGTGCTGTTAGAACCCCTGAGCAGGCTCACGGCTCACAGATGTGTTGGGACAACAGCCCCAGCCACCGCACAGCCCTCCGCGTGCTTCCTTAATTGCTCCCTAAGTCAGCATTACACGGGAGCTCAGCGATACAAAGTGCTTATTAGCTAAGTGGTTAATAAGGCCTCATTAGGGACTTGTAGCAAAGCCCCAGAAAGCACAGTCTCAGTCTCTGCTGACTCGGGAGGCCATGGCTGCCCGTGGGTATCCCGGCCTCACCATGGTGACGTTCTGGAGAAGCACACGGAGCTGGCCCCCATGCTGGGCCAGAGGAGATGGCCACACCAGGGCAGTGTGGATGGACAGGGGGGTAACTCTGGCCTTCCCTCTTTATTCTGATATAAAACCAGAAAGTTCTTCCTATGCTGCAGACCCTCTCTGAGGGGCCCGGGGTGGGGCCTGGCAGGGGATGGAGCATCAGGCGAATAGTAGCCTGTTGCCCTCAGCCAGTGCACCTGAGCATTTCTCGAAAGCAGGAGCCAAGGGTCTTGGCATTTGTGACGATTGCAGAGTGTGTGCTTGAAAGCAGAACCCTATCTCTCCCAGGCCGGGCCAGCGGGGAGGGGGCAGTGACGGCTCGGCAGCTGCTGCTTCTGAGAGGGGCAGGCGTTGTAGAGTCGAGGGGCCAGTTGCCGCAGCCACGTTCTCCACAATCCCCCACCTACCCACCCCCAACCACAAGCATGCTCTGGAGCAGCGGGTCCAACGTTGCTGTTAGGTTGGGGTTCCCTCAGTGAGAAGGAGGGTGAGTGTCCCTCTCCCAGCCGGTTTAGCAGCCCCTTCCTAACGTACATGCGGACATTTATTTGCTAAGTGACCTTGGTTAGACCCTTCCTCTCTCTGGACTCTGTCACCCCATCTGTGCGCTTATTGACTCCTGAAGGCCCCGCACCCCCAGTGGGTGCAGTTCTCCGAGTCACCAGGCTCCCCAAGGGTCAAAGGGCTCCATCTGTCCTTCGCTCCATCGGCAGTGCCTGTGCCCGCTCTGGGCTGGGTCTACCTGTCGCAGGTCACCAGGTGCTGTTTGCATGTGGGTGTGGAGCCCCGTCTCACATCCAGCCCTTCCCTGCTTTCCTTCTCAGTGCTAACTGGCCTTGCCTTGTCTCTGTCTCCTCTCCCTCTGCTCTCGGGTAGCTGACGGTAGGGAAAGTGTCCAGCGGAATAGGGGCTGCAGCCGAAGTCCTGGTCAATCTGTACATGAATGATCACAGGCCTAAGGCCCAGGCCACCTCTCCAGACCTGGTAAGAACGCACCCCCAGCGTCCCCCGCAGACTCCGGCCCTGGCCTCCCGGGGAGGGCACCCAGGACCCAGAGAGGAGGGCCTGGCCCTCTCCAAGGTGCCCCTTCTCGTGGACAGAGGGGGTGGGAATGGCCGGATCAGAGCAGAGGAAGAGGGAGGCTGCATATCCTTTAAGACAAACCACCCGGCCACCTTGGGGGTTGTTTCCCAAGGCCAAGCACCTTCGCTGCTGCCGGGAGCTCAGCGAAAGGCCCAGCGAGGCCTTCACGCGGCCAGGCATCCCTTTCTGTCCATGGTTAGTGTCCAAGGAGCCCTTTGCATTAGGTTGAGAATTCAGTGGTGGAAAAACATTCCTTTTTTTTTTTTTTTTTAATTCTCCCTTTCTCAGACTGATGGCCACTTCCTGCCATCCCCAGAGATTTGAGCTGACAATCCCTTTTGCTTCCTTTGGGCACATTCCCTAGAATCACTCAGGGTCACCCCTGTGCTCCCCTCCCCCTCCTTCTTTTATTTAGGAGTTCGACTGGAGCCTGGTGGCTGGGGGGCACAGCCTCTCCCTTTCTGCAATTCTCTTGAACAGTTTTTAATTTTTTTTCTTGAACAGTTTTGACGCCACAATTTTCCCTGCCTGACTGAAGTAGCTGCAGGGGACAGAAGATGTAGAAAACATTCTTTCAATGACCTCACTCTATACCCGACAGCACTTACCCGTGGGGCAGGCAGCTGGAGAGGGTGTCACTGGGCAGGCATATCTGTGAGAAATGCCCACACCTCGCCCAGGAGACATCACCCCCTCCTGAAACCAGCGCAGCCCAGCTGGGGGACAGGCCCCCTCCTCCAGGCCTGCCTGTGGCCGGCTGGCGTGGTATACAATGGACAGCAGCCCCTGCAGTTTGGGGGGCCCTGTGGGGCTCATTTCTTCCCACTCTCTTTGCTGCAGCGTCTGCAGTGACCTGAGCAGAGCCAGGAAGTCCCCAGGACCAGGCTGGAATGTCTAACAGCCGGGGCCTCTTGCTCCAAAGCTCCTAACACCTTGCTCTTTCTCTGGTGCCCTGTGCTCCCCAGGAGACGACTCGAAAGGCCTTTCCCCTGAACCTGGGCGGCAGCGACACCTGCTTCTTCTGCAAGAAGCGCGTGTACGTGATGGAGAGGCTGAGCGCCGAGGGCCACTTCTTCCACCGGGAGTGTTTCCGCTGCAGCGTCTGCGCCACCACCCTGCGCCTGGCCGCCTACGCCTTCGACTGCGAGGAAGGTGAGCGCCTTCCTCCAGGGACAGCCCTGTGGGCTCCTGTCCCTCTGGGGGCTCTGGGACACCCAGCAACTCCCAGGGAGCTCAGTGTCCTGGGGAAAGCTTTCCAGGGAGTCAGGGTCCTCTGGACAGAGAAGCCACCTGCAGGGGGCAGGGAGCAGCTGGCAGGGGGCAGGAGGCAGGGGGCAGGGGGAGAGGGGGAGAGGCAGCGCCCACACCTGGTGGGTGCCGTCCCTGAGGGCACCTGCTGCGTGCCGCCAGCTCTGTGTATGTTTTCTCGTTCGGTCTCACCGCCTTCCATCTCCCCAAGGCGGTGGAGACACGTGCTCAGCAGCACACCGCTCATGTCATACGGGTCCAATAGATGGCAGCATGTGGATGGGAGGAGTATTGGTAATGTGGGCACTCGAAAAATAACCACCCATAGTAGCATCCTTTCTGACGAGGAGCTGATCAGAGGTCACGGGAGAAGGAATTGCACTCATTTGGACGTAGGGTCGTTTTTTTAATTTTCAGCCTTGGACATTTGCACTGTCAGATAAGATGACATTGCTCATGACTTCAGACCTTCAAAGGCAAGTGCCAGGTTCAAATCTAGGCTGTGGCACTTCCTAGCCCCGTCACCTTGGGCCCGTTCTCTGACCTCCTGGTCCCTCAGTTTTCTCGTCTGTAAAATGAGGATACCAGTAGTACCTAGCGCCTGAGGTTGTTGTGAGGGTGGGTGAGTTCATCCTCAGGGAGCATTTAGAAGAGTGCCTGCTATACTGTGAGTCCCACAGAAGCGCTCCCTACCATTACCATTATCCCCATCGCGGTTGCCACTGACATAACAGTGAGCAAAGAAGGCTTTTCTGGAAAGCGTGCCAGGACCCTGGGCAGCAGCCGGGGTCCCAGTGTGTGTCCCACCTAGGCTTTTCCTTCCCATCTCCGCTGCCATCTGTGCCAGGCCTTCCCCACCCCAGGGTCCCAGAAAGGAGGAGGAGGAGCTAGAAATAGTGCTGCTGTCCCTTTCGCTGCCGCACAACTGGTCCTGGGAAGAGACCTGGCCTTCGTTTGGTTTGGGGATCCGCTGAGGGGTTCAACCCCATCCCTCTGAGGCAGCAAAGGGTCCTAGGCCTTGAATCAGTGCCCCTTTAAGACCAGAGACAGAAGCCCCTTCCCGAGAGGGAGCTGCCCGGGGTTTGTTCCCGTGACTGGCGTTGTCTGACCTGGACAGGGGTGGGCACTTGGCTCAGGTCTCCTATGTGTCTGGCTTACAGGGGAAAACACACACACACACACACACACACACACACACACACAAACACAACAAAAAACACACACCTGTGTGTGCGCGTTTCTTTTTACAGGCAAGTTTTTCTGCAAGCCTCATTTCATTCACTGTAAAACCAATACTCAGCAACGGAAGAGACGGGCAGATCTGAAGCAACAAAGAGAGGTACATTTTGCCTTGGAACGGGGAAGGGCTCTGGGCAGGAGGAGGTTTTCAAGGGTTCCTGCACTCTGGGCCAACATCTCTGGCCCTAGAGGGACCGAGACTCGTAGATGAGGAAGAGGGCTCTCCGTCCTGCTGTGATGGTGCCTTTGCCTCAGTCAGTTCAGAAGACCTCCAAAGTGTATCCCTCTGTCCTCCTCCCCTGCGCGCCCCCCTTCCGACCCCATCCCCCTGTGCCAACTCCCAGGTACATGGCTGTGCTGGCCTCTCAGGAGAAGCCCAGAGAGCTTTCCCATGTGCCAGGGATGGGGCTATTGGCTCAACCATGCAAAACTTACCAGTTGTCTCCCCATGGTTGCTGGGCCCTGTCTTCTCCACGCCTCCCTCCAGCCACCCTCCCCCTCCGCCCCGCACCAGAAACACAGGGCACTGTTTGTAGGGATGTCTAGTATGGGGCCAACCTTTGCTGAGGTTTCCAAGTCCTTTCTCAAGGCCAGTGGTCTGCAAGCTCATTAGTCAACAGAGCCAAATATCAACAGTACAATGATTGAAATTTCTTTTGAGAGCCAAATTTTTTAAACTTAAATGTCTTCTAACGCCACTTTTTAAAAATAGACTAGCCCAGGCCATGGCATTTTGTAGAAGAGCCACACTCAAGGGGCCAAAGAGGCGCATGTGGCTCACGAGCCACAGTTTGCCAACCACGGCCCTTGGCCCTTGGAAATCAGCAATGTGATGAGGGACAGGCTTGTTATAGTGCCCCCTCTGGCAGCTCTTAGCAAATACCTCCATGGCTTACCAGCCCAGAGCCACCACTGACAGTTTTTTGCCCCCCAATAACGCGTTAATCTAGGCTCAATGCAGAAAAAAGTGGATAAGTTAATTAGATACATAAAGAAAGTTAAAGCGCCCACTGCCACTCTATCATGAGAAAACAGTGATTTTGTGACAGGTGCTTCCTCCCAGACTTCCTCTGTGCAAGAATTGTATCTGGTCAGAATCCTACCGCTACAGTTTCCCATGACATTACAACTCCTTTTAGAGCACAGAATTGGGTGCCTAAAAGACATGGTCAATAATTTATTTAGTGACTCCCATATTGTTGAATGTTCATGTTGTTTAACACATTTATCTTATGTTTATAGTGAACATCTTTGCACATGCATACTTATCCATATTTCAAATTATTCACTTAAGACAGATGATTAGAAATGTGATTAGAGTCAAAGGACGTGTGTTGTAAAGGATTGTGAGCCCCGTGATCAATCTGTCCCCCAGGAAAGGTGTGCCCATGGTCAGCGCCCCTTCGGCAGTGCATGGGCATGAGATTATTTGAGGCTGGTTCTGCCAAGTTCTAATGTAGATATTGTATATATAAGTCTATATAACCGCTTGTCTCGTAGAGAGAGAGAGAGAGCGCACCAGAATAGGTTAGACTTTGTTGCTATAGTAAGCTCAAATGTTTTAAAATGTATTTTTATTGATTTCAGAGAGGCAGGGAGAGGGAGAGAGAGACAGAAGCATCAATGAGAGAGAATCGTTGATCGGTTGCCTCCTGCATGCCCCACACTGGAGATCGAAGATCGAGTCTGTTATCCAGGCATGGGCCCTTGGCCAGAATCCAACCGTGACCTCCTGGTTCATAGGTCAAAGCTCAAGTTCTATTTTTACTGGCTCTCTCTGTCTGCTTTGCCAGAGGGTTCCTGTGGGAGAATCGTGTACTCACTGCCTCTCTTTGATGGTTCTCAGGAGGCGGGAATGTGGCCGGAGCACGAAGCCCCTCGGCAAGAACCTCCCACAGAAAGCTCTTGTGCAGCCGCTGCCCTGGGCCCCGCAACGGGCAGCCCCCCAGGTATCACCACCTCCTCCTTTAGGAAGGCGCTAAGCTGGCCTCTCAGGCTGCCCTGGGGCCTGCTCCACCTCCCCCGGAGCCTGCTTAACTGGATCCGGGGACTCCTGCGCGCCCTCGGCCTGCATTTCAGGGACAATGCTTACAACTACTGCTTCACGTATGAGCTCCTGAGCCTCGGGCTGCCCCTCCTGTGGGTGCTCTCCGAGGTCCTGGCTTCCATGTACCGGGAGTCCGAGGAGTCCCTCGAGAGCATCCGCGACTGGGTGCTCGGGCACTTCCCCGGCAAGCTCTATTGATGGGCGCTGCCCCAAGGGCAGATGGCCACGTGTTTGCGAAAGCCAAAGAGCTGGCCGCCCGCGCCAGCCTTGTCAGGGTGCTGGGGCCAGCGCGACATGAAGGATGTTTTTTACAGATCTGCATTTCTTTTATACCAAAGTGAACTGTATTTCTAGGTTTACATTTCAATATTTAATTTTTAATAATCCAAGAACAAGCATTTTTTTTTTTTTTTTACCATGCGTGTTGAAATTTTGAAACACGGGTTAGAAGTTTATAACTGGTAGGACAAACCCCTTCAACACCCGTCAGTTGCAGTAATAGTCATTGCCTGCCACGTTACAGGTTTGGGCTTTATGTTAGCAAAAGTGAGCGTGCCATCTCCTGACCAGGGCCTCTCGATTTATGTACCCGGATGCCACTTGTCAAGGGGAGAGGGGGGCAATTATTTTGCAACATGGAAGCATACTCATGTTAGAAGAGAAGAGTAGGAGAATCATGTAGAATTAAGCGTGCAAAGCACATGGCAGTGTGTAGCTGGCTGTTCTGTGTCCTCCCTCTCAGACTGTTTTGCTCCCTTGTTTTGATGTAAAACCCCACCTCCCATCCCAAATTACAAACAAATGATAGAGAACCCTGGGGTTTAGTGCAATTGCTACAAACAAGCATTTTCCCTGCCCACCACCGAGCACTGCAGAAAAGCCCATTGGCACCTGACCCCACCGAGCCCCATTGGGTCAGCAGGCGGCCTGGACCCAAAGCCCCCACCCCTGGGGCTCCTTATCAGGCTCCCAGCCCAGGCTCCCTTTTGAGCCAAGGCCCCTCAGGATCCTTCATGGTCAGGCTGAAGGAGGAATCTGCCCTCTCCGTCCTGTCCTTTGGGACTGAGGGCATCTGTTAGCACCTCAGGGTAATATTTCTGGGAAGCAAGCACTGCTTGCAGACGTGCTGGCTGCTTAGCCACTCGAGCTGGCAACCCAGGCATGTGCATATTTGGTCAAAGCAGTCCAAAACCATTTTTTTTTTCACGCTGTCCCAGGAAAGGAATGCATAAGACCTCCAGAGAGAAGGTCCCCCGTGTCTTGATTGGCAGGGAAGGCTGGGAGTGGAAGCTGTACATTGACTGATGCAAAGAAATATATCCTATTAGGGGCAAAACCAAGCATTGGCCTACCTGCATTCTTCCCTCTGAGCGTCCAGAGGAGGCCTAAGCTGCCCGCGCCACGTTGCCTGGACATGCACAGCTGCTGGGTCCGGTGGGACAAGGGAGAGGCTGACAGAAAAAGGCCCTGCCCTGCCCCGTGTAGCTAGAGTTGCCAAGCCGGACACACTTCCACACATTGTCCCCCTAGAGATCTATCTCCTCAAGTCCACGTGGGGGTGGAACCAGGTGAGGGTTTGGAGCAGGAGCTCCTGAGGGCTTGGAGATGGCCCGTTCCTACAGGGTGAGAAGGGGGAAGGCATTTCTACAAACACTTCCTTGAAGTCCTCGGGGAGAACGGGGGATGGCTGAGGCCACGCCCGTGGGGACCGACACCTCAGTCCTGGTGGAGCCTGTTCTCAGTCCGATGACTTGCATTGTGTTTTCCCAACGCTGTGCTGGGATTGTCACGTTCAGCGTGGCGGGAGGAGTCCTCGAGTCACTGTATGTTTGATTCCAGAAGGCAGGCTCTCTGGGTCCCGCCCGTGAGAACACACGCTCAGCGGTGTCACTGTCCCCGTCAGCGCAGGGCAGGCCGAGGAGCCCTGTGCGGGCTCCGGGAGCCACAGTTAGAATCGCCGAGAAGGTCACGGGTGGCCCTAAAGGGACATGTTTGCATTCCTCTGGTGAGACAGGGTGTGCCTGTCAGTCTGTATGTTCTGTGACTTTGAACCTTCCTGGTGGGCAGCACCGAACACACAGTGGATCCCAGGCTGAGGGGGTGGGGGTGGGGGTGGGGGCGGGGCTCTAAGCCTCCACAATGGGTTCAAGAGCGACTATAAGACACTGGACACTGGAGTAAAACCAGGGCCGAGAGGACATGGGGGCCGTGGGTGCAGATGCCAACCACACGGGCCCACTGCTGCAGGGATGGGCTGCGCACCACCAGGAAGGTTCCCCTGTCCGGAGCAAGCCGTGAGCGTGTGGGGGAGTGTCCCCGTTGTAAACGATTGCCTTGTTTCCCTTGATTCCCACGTCTCCTCTCGTTGTCGGTCGTTTTCCTTTCCCCCTCCTCCCCCACCCCCCAAAAAAACAAAACTAAACTCTCGTTTCTGTCTCTCTCTTTCCAACCTTGCACTGTGGCCGTCAGTTCCTTTCAGCCTTCCAGTGCTGCACCCACTTCTTGGCTGACACACTTCTGCTATCTGAGGTGACTGGTTTTCTTGCGGATTTTCAGAGAGTGGGGCTGACTAACCCCTACGCCGCTTTCTGCACCGTCCTCCCGCCGCGGCCTTGGTTGTGCTCACTGCAAGCGTCTTGTGTACTAACGACTCCTTGGGTGGCATGGTGGGTGAACAGCGTGGGGCGGTGTTCAGCGCCAAAGCTGTTTCCGACTCCACTGACCTGGGAGCCGGCAGCCCGGCCCCGCCAGGTGCATGCCCACCTGCCCCTCTGTGGCTTGCTCGCATGCTTTGCCGGTTGCATTGACTAAGCCAAACCAAACCGCTAACTTTCCTGGGAGGGTTGGCTCTGACGGGAGACAGTGCCGTAGGGGGGCTCGGTCACCTGTGAAAAGAACACCTCTGCCTAGGAGCCTCTGAAAAAGCTCGTGCATACCAGCTTCAACTGGTTCTGATCTGGAGATCATCGATGTCCTTGATCAAAACCAGAGGCCACCCTTTTCGGAGGGATGAAAGCAGTACGCCCAGCTTCCTCACCCCCTCCATCCACACTCTGCCCTTGGCCACATGCCGCAGTTTTCCTAGCACGCCCCTTCCCTGCTGCAGCCTGCCCCACCCATAGCTGATGAGGGTCAGTGTCACCTCAGGCTGCTAAGTGTTGCCGTGGTGGCTCTCTCTTACCTCTCATGGCTCACAAAGCCGCCGAGGAGACAGAAGCTGTCCGAGAGCCACTGCGCCCCAGACTAGGGATGGCCTTGAGAAAGGATTCAGTCCACCCCAGGCCTACAGCGGCCAGGTCCTGTGCATACCCCGCCCAAACCCCCAGGCCTGCTCAAAGCTGCTCTCTCTGCTGACTCGTTCCCTGGAGCAGCAGGACAGTCCAAGTGCCAGGCACTGCAGGCCAGGGCCTCAGGTCTCAGGCTGCATGCGGCATCTGCCCTGCACGTGGCCCCGACACGCTGACCCCGGGCCTGGCTGCCCCACCCTGCATGCTGCATCCCTCACTGCCCCCGTGCAGATCCCAGTCATTGCTCTCTCTCATCTTCTCTTGCAGAGTCTCCCTCCCTTTATAGAGTGTCAACCAAAGACTTCCCTCCCCTACCCCAGCCCCCTCGTCAGCTAGCCCCCCCCCCCCCCCCGCCCCAGCGCATGTTTGTGACCCTCCGTGGTCACGTCCAGTGCCACACCGAACCCTGTATTTTGCACACAGCGAACGATGTTTAGCTTTATTTATGGTATATGATGCTGTAAATGGAAATAAATGTGGTTCTTTATAAAGCTCCTCCGTTTCCTCTCTTCTTTGCCATGGAAGCTGCTCAGACCTGGAACACGAGCATTCATTGAGGGGGCCGGTCTTCCCTAACCTGCCGGTGGGAACTTGCACACGTGGTGCCGAGGGGCTCTCTGGGGCTGCGCTGGGCACTCTGGACGTAAATATTACCCGAGGGTAATATTTGGAAAAGATCCCCCATGCTCCTGGGCCCCGCTTTGGGATCTCCTTCTTGAAAGCTCATGGTACTTTTCTGCTCTAGATGCAGGACATAGCTGGAGAGGATCAGTGTCACCTCAGCTGCTGGGAACTAGACTGGCTTAGCAGCCGAGGGCACCCACTTTCCCAGGCCTCCGAGCCTCAGACCTGACATGCCCACATGGGTTCCTGTGTAACGGAGGCTGCTCTCAGCCGTTGTGTGCCGATTCAGCTCAGTGATGGGCGAAAGGTCAGAAGGAAGGAGCAGGCGTTGGTTTGAAGATGGCGCATGGCAGGTGTGCTCATCCCGACAAAGGGCCATCTGTGATCCTAAGACACCTGTCCTGCCCCCAGGGCTCAAGGACTCCGTGTCTCAGGCTGCCAGCTCCACTCACAGGGCCACTATCAGGTGCTGGTCTGACTCTAGGCTGTCCTTAAAGGAAGGGTTTCCTACCTTCAGACACCTGCTCCCCAGCCTCTCCAGGGTGGGAGGCCTGCTGGTGCCAGGCTGTGGGCAGCTGAGCTTCTGACACTGGCATGAAACTCACCTGTGAATCCATGGGCCCGCGTGCCTCTCAAGGGGCATTTCTGGGGCCCGGGGCCTCTCGCCCAGCGGCAGATGCCTGAAACTGCCTTCAGAGCTGCCTGGGGTCATGACCGAGGTGAGATCCTCTTACCCAGGTGAGATCCTGTGCCCCTTCCCACGAAAGAAAGGTGTTGGGGACTGAAGTCAGGGGCTGAGGTAGGCAAGTAACTCATTCTTTTAGTCATGTCTCTGTTTGAGTATTGTCTAGGCATATATAGGCTGGGTCCAGCAATGTGGCCGTGAGCCACACAGACTCTGCCTCTGCCTGCACATGGGAATGTGTGTGTCTTGGGACTGTGTACCGGACTTGATTTGTTTGGTTCATTTGTGCCTGCACCCGCCTGTTTA